AGCGCTGATCTGATTTGCTATGATGACACGATTTCTCAAGGCCAAGGTACGGATAAATCGATCCTGGGCTTGAGTTGTCGCCCTTGGTCGACCTGAGCGTGGTCTGTCCTGTACAGATTGTGTATCACGGTATCTGGACCATAGCCTGCTTATGACAGACTGAGAAACATTCATCGTCCGTGCCACAACCGCCTGTGTTGTGCCGATCTGTAGCATGCCAAGGGCACGTAACCTTTCATTTTGGGTAAGCCGACGCATATCAAAATTTGTTTTCTGGTCACTAAAACAATTAAACTGATGTTTCCACCCTGGAATTCAATGCCACAATGACTGTAACATTCAAAGTCAGAGTCGTGCAAATCTTGGGTTGGACCCCCATGATGATCCCAAGCATCACCTGCATTCCATGCGGTAGCTATTGGTGCGTTTGGGCGTCACATGTAACTGGAAATGTTTCTTCTGTTAGGTTCTATAGTGACTTTTTTCGTAGTCATTTGCATATTTTAGTATTATGCCCCCAAAATCAAATATCCCCTACTTTTTTTGAATAGTATACTACTACTACTACTACTACTACTACTACTAGTACATTATTTTAGCATTTAAACAATATTTTATTTATAAACGAATGGGAATGAGCAACAGGCTTGAAACCTATATCAGCTCTTTTCATAGATAAAGAGGAATATGTTATGTTATGTGGAAGTGTATTTTGCACTGATTTTGAAATTAATTAATACTACTACAACAACCTGTACAATACTATTATAATTTCTTGGCGTGAATTTATAGTAGCCTAAACATCCCTTTAAGTTTCAAATTAATCAATCTTCATTAAGAGAAAGCAAGTAATTATCAATGAGTTTTTCTAAAACTAGACAACCTTTCTACCTGATTGGAATTATAATCAGTCCATTAATTTTTTACTTGGTTGTATGGATTAATTAACCCAGAAATTCTCTTCCTGCTAACCTTGTCTGATTACATATTAAAACAGATGATCGACATAAAACTTAGGACGTTTTTATTAAACATTAATGAAATGAACGTCCTACTGTTCTGCTCCTATGCTGGGCTAATGAAGACGGACATACGCCATACAGTGTGCTATGAGGGAAATTTTGCCCGGGCAGCGGCACTATCGCCTACTCTTATATCGAATTCCAACTGCCAAGGAAAATTTTACGTGCATTCCAATGTATACACGGGACCTCGGTTTTTCGTCTCATCCGAAGGACTAGACAGCTGTCCTTGTCAGGCCCTCCGTCCTGCCTCCCTGAAAAGCTGGAGGAAATTTCTCGGCCAATGCAGGGATCGAACACCCGACCTCCAGGCTAGCGAGCCAGCGTCTTACCCACGTGATCCCCCAAAAACATTAATGAAAGCATTAAATATAATAAATAAGCTTCTTGACCCACTTTGGTAATTTTCACAAAGTATCAAATTATTTAACATTTAATTAAGAAACATAACCATAATATCAATAGTAAATAATCTCCCGGCTTCAATTCAATCGGATTAAAGAGGAATTCATCAAAAGATTTTGACATAATTTAAAGCGTATGTGCGTAATTTGTATTTTCTGGCAAACAAAACACGAAACATCAAGGTTAGATATTTTCAGAATAAAGCGGGATCCCATTAAAAGATTCAGCAAAACGCATAGTGGTACTGGCCAGTGTTGACTATATATTCTATATCGTTTGAAGTGAACTCCGAATATTGGCATACTTTCAATTAACCGTTGTTTATACTGAATGAAATTCAACAATGTTATACATGTAATTTAATATATTTTAAAGCGAATATATATGCTCTAGCTTATTTAGCTGCACGGTGGTATTGGGTTTACAATATCATTTATATTCAAGGACTTATATTCCCTTTGAGATCCTACTTTCATCATAATGTACAGGACCTGTTTTGACACATTTGATCAATTTTCCCAAATTGGGCCCAGCACCAACTTAAAAACTTTTCCAGGTAATCTGGCAGAAGGGTTGCTAGGTGTGGCTATTTTCAGGTATTAATCAATTAGTTATTGTGAAGTAAAGCAAATGTTTGCCTTAAATATGAATGAATATAGATCTAGTAAACGCCATTCATATCCTGCAATATATTCATATCCTGTAACTTCGTGCTTCCCAAATGGGGCTCCCCATTTTCTACAACCGGTCCGGTTAATGTAGATTGCAAGGAATTCAAGAGAGAGAGGGAGAAATGGGGTTTAACGTCCACTCGACACAAACCAGGTCATTTCGAGACTTTCATATGGTTTAGTTTTACTTCACTAATTCGCTTGCGCGTAGGGGTCGTTAGCAGTGGGGTGAACTGGAGGACCCAGAGAAAACTCATGAGGATGGACAGCGACCCTACTCCTTGTCACGTACAACCGGGGAATCGAAACCACGCCAGTTGACTCAATGACGGACCTTATGATACAACGCGCACGCGCTAACAATTCGGCCATCCACCCCTTTAACCCACCTGCCCCGCAAAGGGATTCAAAATCCCTCAGATGACGAACAGTGACTTTAAAGCATGTATCTAACCACACAGTACGATTAATTAAATATTGGAAAATCATTTCGTAATAGCCTTTAATGTTAATCATGGCAGTGTGATGTACCAGAATTAATTCATGTAGTAAGCTTTTGTTTCTCTGACCTTTTTAAAGAGAGAGAGAGAAATGGGGTTTAACGTCCACTCGACACAAACTAGGTCATTTCGGGACTAACATATGGTTTTTAATTTTATTTCAATAATTCGCTTGCGCGTAGGGGTCTTTAGCAGTGGGAGGAAACCGGAGGACCCGGAGAAAACCCACGAGGTTGGACAGGCGACCCTACTCCTTGTCACGTACAACCGGGGATTCGAAACCACGCCTGCAGTTGACTCAATGACAGACCTCATGATACAGCGCGCTCGTGCTAACCATTCGGCCATCCACCCCCCTGACCTTTTTAAAGCAGACATACATATATTACATTTAAAAAAGAACAAAAGTGTTAGTGTCCATTAGTATCTTGTAACACTGATTGGTTGGCCTTTATTATTATTAAAGTTACAATTTCATATTTTCTAAGAAAGTCAAAACATAAATATGTCTATGTCTTTTGCTCAATGGGTTGTCAACTCACTATTATACGATCATAGGTGTCATTCTCACACTTAAAACTCATTTACACCGGAAATAATAACACAATTACCTCCCAATTACCTCCCTTGTTTTCTATTCTCCACCATGGAGTAGCTATCTTCAAACGTTTAAATTTGAAGATGAAAATGATATTTTTGCCAATTTCTCAACTGGCAATAGTGAATTATAGGATTAATAGGATTAGTCTTTAACAAGGTAGGACTGTTTATAGATACCATCTATTTTAAGGCTTTATTTTAATAAATTTTAAAAATATAATTTAAAAATATGAAAATGCAACTTTAAAATAATATTGGAAGGTATTCATTATGAGTCAAAGGTAAATTTCAACCAAAATGACGGATGTCTACCTACAGGTGCTAGGAAAGTATAAAGAGTCTTCAACTCGTGCAGAGAGTTATTTATGATGTTCGTGTGGACGAAAGTGTATACAGTAGTAATTTATATTACTCCCTTATAATTGATGGGTGTCGAATGAAGACAACGGAAGACATTATTTGTAGTGCGGAGATTAGATGGCCAGTTTGACAGCTTATAACGTCTTTATCTGGTTCATATGGCCAATTTCCCAGTCACTCAAACCCATCCTTACCATTATTAGTGATTTAAGACCAAAAAGAAATGAAGTGTTTCGCACAGAATTATAGGAAAAATGTGTTTATTAATACATGGTGTAAAGAGAGATAAAATAAGTCTTTTGTCTTTCAAGAAAGTCGCCCAAGACAATCACAACCGTATCCTTAAGATACGTTATGTAAGATTTAGATAAAGAGCGGGCCGTTCATTGGTATAATAGTTCAAAAATAGATAATGTAAAATGATTATATTGTGCGATGGTGGAAATTTTGCCTATGTTATTTCGACTTCCAACTGTCAGGGGATCTTTTGCGTGTACGTAAAGATATTTCCGGGACCCCGGCTTTTTATACTATCCGAATGATTGGACGTTGTTCCATACCAGCCGCTTGTGACGCGGGATGGGGGGGGGGCTTATCAGTGGCAGCGCCTATTTTTTCGGGTGGTACGACAAACCGTGTTCACTTTGCCAAAATAATCAGTTGGGTTGAATATAGGTAAACCAGTCGAAAGAACTTAATGTTTCTGGGGTTTTTTTATAGCATAGTCAATGAAAAATAAATGAAATGAAATGAGTTTAACGTCATAATTTTCTGCACCGACTCGGCTAATGAAGTGTGCTATGGGGGGGGGGGGGGGGGATTTTGTCCGGGCAGTGGCACCACGGCCTACTCTTATATCGAATTCCAATTGTCAAAGAATTTTTTACGTGCACCCATTGTGTACACTGGACTGAACGATTATACACTGTCCTTGCCGGCCGCCTTCCGCTCTGTACCACCGACAAGGGGAAACCGCGCCCATAAGTCAATGATAAAAACCACTATATATATACAATACTGAAATACATAATTTGCTACCATTTCAACGTATTATAATTTCAGGAGTCTCTAGCGCTCTGCTTACCCAATAGTACGTTAGCTACAGCTTAGTAAGGATCGCGCTATGTAGTTGAACTGTCCCGTAGTGATTCATCAGACTGGTCATGGACCAGAAGCACCACAAATGATACTGTTTTCAAGCTCCATGTGTGCTACTTAGTCTCGATTATCTAAAAATAAGCGGGCAATTGAATTGAAATGAAATGAGGTTTAACGCCCTGCGTTTTCGCGCTGACTGGGCTGTAATGAAGACAGAAGAGGGTAATAGGCAGTCCTTACCAAAAATAACTATAACGTGACAATTGGTCGCATTTCAGACTGCTTTGCCGGTTTCACATTAATATTTAAGTTTTCAAAAGGTCATTATGATTTCTCTTTTTCAGTTCGGAGCCATTATGCGATGCCCTGTTACCAAATTCATAACACATACCACGTCACATATATGTTTCCTTACATTGTTGTCTGCTGCTACGTTTCGTATCACAGAATCCGGGGTTTCTATAACGACGACGGACGAGCTGGATGACGCTCGTTACAGCCATCTTAGTAAAGATGAAACTATAAATAGTTTGTTAAAGGAAACATTAAGGCCGGCTAGTACACTTATAACACATGTACAGATTTGTATAGTATTTTGGATATTAGGTAAGTATTGGGATTTGTAACCATTTTGTTTTACTTACCTATATTACAATTTCCCAGGCCTTTAATTGGAAAATGGTGTTCAATGCTAACACCGACCCAGACTCAAAAATATGTCCAAATTTGTGATCATGGACATGACGGATTGTCAATCTCAGATGATATGCAGCGGATTCATGAGAAGTCGGTTGCCGGCGAACCGTAGTCGTCTATTCGCCCACAAAACGGTCATTGTCGCCGTCTGGTTTTGTGTCTGTATTCGTAATTGACTGATGACCATACCAACTGGACAAATTCTATCCAATCAAGATAATATTATGAAACAATATAAATAAATTTCCTGAAGTATCATCCATTTATTACCGGTCTGTTGACTTGTATTAATCCGCACTATGCATTATTATTGTATATTACAGGTTTGTTGACTTGTATTAATCCGCACTATGCATTATTATTGTATATTACAGGTCTGTTGACTTGTATTAATCCACACTATGTATTATTGTATATTACAGGTCTGTTGACTTGTATTAATCCACACTATGTATTATTGTATATTACAGGTCTGTTGACTTGTATTAATCCACACTATGTATTATTGTATATTACAGGTCTGTTGACTTGTATTAATCCACACTATGTATTATTGTATATTACAGGTCTTCTGTGGATTGAGTGTAAACAAGTGTATAACTCAGGGGCTCGATCTTATGTAACAGATTATTATAATTCGATGGATTTTAGTGTCTTATCAATGTATCTAGCATCTTATGTCCTCAGGTTCTTTACAGAATATAAAGTGTCGGAAGCTGACAGGTACTCGCACTTTCTAATCATAGCAAAACTATATAAGCATTTTTATGATATTCATTCACATAAATAGAGAATCTCCTAGTCATTTATTTTTATATCCAAAAAATATCAACACAAGTCCGATCTGATTAAAAAACAGACCTATATTTCGTTTCGTTTTTATTGTTTTCGTTTTTTTTTTATACTTTCGATGGCCTCTACTACATGAAGTTCTGACCAGTTGTGAGGGAGGTCGCGTCAAGGGTCATACGAGCAGATTTTGACCCTATGACGTCAGACAATTGATTAACCAATCAGCGTTGATGTTTCTAGTGGGATACCCACAGTTCCGTGCATCGCACGCCAAGAACTCGCTGCAACATACCGTTTCATTGGCTAATCCCTCATATCAACCAGAACGCAGGTTATATAACAACTCTTCCAGATCCTATAAATCTTGAACTATAAAAAACGAAACAAGATTGGATCTGTATTTTAAATGAAATGAAATGAAATGGAGTTTAACGTCCTACTGTTCTGCTCCTAACCTGGGCTAATGAAGACGGGCATACGCCATACAGTGTGCTATGAGGGAAATTTTGCCCGGACAGCGGCACTACGGCCTACTCTTATATCGAATTCCAACTGCCAAGGGATCTTTTACGTGCACGCCAATGTGTACACGGGACCTCGGTTTTTCGTCCCATCCGAACGACTAGACAGCTTTCCTTGTCAGCCACTCCGTCCTGCATCACTGACAAGGGGGAACCACGCCGGAAAATCTGGATGAACTTTCTCGGCCAATGCAGGGATCGAACACCCGACCTCCAGGCTAGCGAGCCAGTGCCTTACCCACTTAGCCACGTGATCCCCCGGATCTGTATTTTAATCAGCTTGACATAAATCAATAATGTTAAAAAGAACGAGGCTTATTGGCCGATTGTTTTTTGTTTGTTTTGTTTTTGTTTTTTTTTTTTGGGGGGGGGGGTATTTTTTTTTACTTTATCGACGAGTGTTGATATTTTTTATATCAAAAAAGATGAGAGGTAGATTTTATTTATCAACCAACCCTTTTTTACACGCATAAATAAATAAATATAATTCTTTTCGTATCAATCAAATTCATTTAAAGCGATATCTCCACTGTAGAAATCACCGAGTAGAATATGAAAGTTATCACACAAACGCTATCTACCATAGAATGTGTTTTGAGGTGGTAATACATGTTATAGTATATATTATATACAGTACATTAAATATCAGTGTTGATAAACGTATAGACTATTTCTGTAAAAAGGCATAATAAAATGGACGATTTAAAAAAAAATTATAATGCTTAATGTGCAATTATCAATTATCAAAATCAATTTACAATGTCTCGACAGTCAGATTTAGTTATATATTATCATAATACAAAACTAGGCATGGCCAAATGAATCTGTAGACTGTGACGTCATTGTCATAGCTGATGACCTTAATTAAATTCAGTTTACTTCCGGATCCCTACACCTAGGGAATCTTGACGAAAACATGCAAATTGAAACACTCTTATTCGATTCTGGACTACAAAACGTTCACAATAAGTGTCATGGAAAAGACGCAGAAATGGAGAAAGAAAGAGTTGCTATAAATAGACGAGGTACTCGATTGAAAACTGCGCCAAGTTTTAGTTTAAAAAATGTTTTGATTGTAAATTCATTTGACGGAAACCGCGCCATATCTTAGTTTAAAAAATTATTATTTTAATTCTAAAACCGTAATTATGGCTAATGCAGTATTTAATGAACAAATGTCAGTTGTCTTTTAATATCGATGAAAATCGATTAATGTGACTTGAGTCAGCCGCAGGTCTTAAAAGTTGAAAAAAAAATATATATATAATGTCTTGATTCTAAATTGCGGTCGTGGTTTCGATCCCATGTGTGAGCGTATCTGGTTTGGAGATAGGAATGCCTACTTAACCTCGTGGGTTTACTCCGTGTAACCCGGTTTTCTCCCACAGGAAAGGCCCCTGCGCGTGCGCTAAGATAATAAAAATAAGGCAACTCGTCTGCGATATCACTCTCGGTGGAAGTGGACGTTAAATACCACGAAAAATAACTGATTCTAAATTTATTAAAGAAAATCCTATTTTTAATTCTTAGTTCCTAAATGCTGGTTTAATGAAATTTGATTTTTTGTTACTATGCTTTTAATATCGAGTGTAATCGATTATTTGATGGAAGATATAGTGACAGGTCTAAGTTCTAAGGAAAAAAAATGTTTTTGTTTTAAGCTTCTGAAAAGTATTCGTTCTAGATCGAATGATGCACTCGAAAACAATATCAATTTGAATTTTTCAGACTGACACATATCTTCCCTTTTTAGTGGAAACATCAGCGGGGTGCAACGTAACTTCCTGTAGCAATTCCAGCAGGGGGGATTATTCAATGACTAATAGTCCAGTGCAATATTTTTTAAATTGATTCCATTACTTGATATGAAAAGATCTACCCACGAACAATAGCCAAAATACATCCATTACTACTACTCGCATATGTAAAACTTTGTATACAATAATATGTGAATTGAAAACAAAAACAAATAAAACATAAACACTTAAAAATGACAGGTGACATATTTTGATAGTAAACATCGAACATGGATTCGTCTTCAACATTATGTTGTTAATGTTATGTCTTCTTTTTATTTAGTTTTTATTATTGAAAAAGTCATTTAGATTTTAAGTAGAAAATGACACATATTGGCAGATCATATACAATGCTTGTAATTGTATAGCTGTGGACATTTTGATAGTAATTATCAAAATTGGATTCATCCCCAACATTATATCATTAATGTTATGTCCTCTTTGTCTAGCTTGTTCTTATTGAAATAGTCATTTAAATTTTTAGTGGAAAATATTGACAGGGCATACAATGCTTGTATAACTGTCGACATTTTTTAGCCTTTTATTATTTAAAACGTTATTTAAATTTTAAGTGAAAAATTGCGCGTCTTGATGTTGCATATAGCTGTATATATTTTGGGTGGGATTTTTAATATCTAAAAAGTAGTTTAAATTTTAAGTAGAAAATGACATATATTGGCAGAGTATGCTTGTATAATTGTGGAATTGGGTCCATCCCCAACTTTATGTTATTAATGTTATGTCCTCTCTTCTATTTTTTTACCCGTCTTTATTATCCCAGTTGGTTCAGAACAGTAAGATGTTAAACCTCATTTCATTTCATTTTTTTTTTTTCATTTCTAGCTTTTTATTATTGAAAAAGTCATTTAAATTTTAAATGGAAAATCATACACATTGACAGCGCACACAATGCTGGTATAATTGTGGACATTTTGTTGGGTATTTTTTCAGTTATTTTAATGGCACTTTAAGAGCCAGAGAGCTACTTATGCAAGGAAACTACACCTACTTCAATATATTAAAAGCTGAAATTAAAGATCCTAGAAATTCTCCTTATAATTATTTTATGGAGGCATGTAAGTGTTTAAATTATATTTTTTGCTAAAACGCACACATACATCTTAATTGTCTATTTTTTGTAGCGCAACAACAGTGATGTGCTGTCTAGTTAAAATGGGAACCGCGATGGCTCAGGGGGTAAGAGGCTAGCTCGCTAATCGGGAGGTCGCGTGTTCGATCCCTGCATTGGCCGAGTGAATTGGGTTTTTCCGGCGTGGTTTCCCCTTGGCGGTTTTGCAGGACGAAGGGCCTGACGAGGACAGCTGTTTAGTCGTTTGAGGTCCTGTGTACACGTTGGCGTGCACGTAAAGACCCCTTGACAGTTGGAATTTGATATAAGAGTAGGCTATGGTGTCGCTGCCCATAGCCAAGTCGGAGCAGAACCAGAACAGTAGGACGTTAAACCTCATATCATTTTATTTCTGTTTTTAAAAAAACCCAAAAAGCAAACAAATGTTTACACTTATTAGCCCTCTAGCTAATCCAGGAAAGATGGGTTTTTTTTTATGTTTTTAGAATTATATTATGTGTATGGAAATTCATCGATCATTATAAGATTAGTGATTTTATTACAAAAAATTGTGAAAATTTAATTCTGATAAAATCGGTATATATTTTACATTATCACTGTAACCCCTTACCCTAACCGTAACCCACACTCCACATATGACGTCATATGTGCTAGACCGTCTCCGATCTAGCGTTCTCCTAGAATAAAGCATAACGAAAAATTAGACAAATTAAACGAAACGAAATTGTAATCTAATCTTTTTGTTTTACAAATACAACACATTTTGTAATTGTAGAAAGGCGGGGTGATGTAAATATATTTAAAACAATAGTTGAGAAATACGATCCTACAAACACTTCGGTAAAATCATAGCATTTGCTACTCTCCGTGGTCTCTTCAGTCACCCGTACATTCTTTCCGTCATTCGTAAAAAAAACAATTTAAAAGCAATTCCAGTGACTATTCTCCTTTTAAATGCAAAGGTTAAAAACTGTGTATTCATATTCCTACGTGTAATATAAAAAAAGGCTTGAGTCAAGAGGAGTTATATTGACTAACTGTTCATGGCCATGGTTCCAACTTCTGTCCTAATAGTCATTGTCAACAACTCTTGTGTTAGAAATAGACATTTGAATGGGGGTATCAATTCTTCTCTCTTGCTTTCGAGTAGACGAGCGTACCAAATACGTTATTTTTTTGTATTAAGTACCTGGTAATTTGAAATTAAATATATTATGACAATTTGAATTTGAAGAGTATGCCTTAGTGCTACTGTTCGAAGAAACTTCTCATGATAGCACACTGCATGGGGGTATGACCGTCTTCATTAGACGGGATAAATCCCAGTTCATTTCGTTTTTTTATTTAAAAAGTATAAAATTATGATACCTAGACCTATAATATTTCCTCTTCCTCGGTTGTACGTGACAAGGGGTAGTGTCGCCTGTCCGACCTCGTGGGTTTTCTCCGGGTCCTCCGGTTTCCTCCCACTGCTAAAGACCCTCTACGCGCAAGCGAATTATTGAAATAAAAATTGAATCATATGTTAGTCCAGAAATGACCTGGTTTTTTTCTCTCCATATATATATATATATATTACCTCTGGGTATTTAGAATTAGTCGATCAAACATTCGTGGAATATTTGCATCACTTTTATTTTATTTATTTGAATTCAATTTATTCTTCGTAGACCAGGGATATAAAGAGAAGAGCCATTATTGTGTTCGAAGCCCATAATGATGGCTAACTGATGTTTTTACACGGTCTCCTGGTTGCCCGTGGCCCTGTTTTATTTGAAAGGTTTATTGTCGTACGAGACTGTGTCTCAGGAAACAAGATCGACCTTTGCGTCTTAAAGAAACATGTTATGCCATTTCATAATACCGTTTAAAAACGGTTGAAATAGCAGTCGAAAACCTTATTATATAAACCTCAATCAAGTGAATAGGTCTGAAGCTGACAACGTTCAGCAAATAAAGCTTTATTATGTCTGACGACCGATAACTGTTGCTTTTATCAGATGCAGTAATATTGGCAATGTTCGGAGGTTACATGTTCATGAGTATCCTTCTGATTCCTCTCAAAGAAATGGCTGTTTAATTCAAGTAGCTTAAGCCCCCGACGTCCAATGATAGTTTGTAATTTTAGGTAGGAAAGACATCGATTAGGCAAATAATTCGACATTCAAATCAATGAGCGAATTCAGCACATCTTTTGATGACGTATTTCAAATAATGGCTGTCTATCAAGAGTGGGTGATGAACGGAATTATGGGACGATTTTGTTAAATATTTTAACAAGAGCTTTCAGACTCTTTCCAAAGATCCCATTATTATGTGATGCTAATGACATATAAAACAGATATATATTTTGTGACCCCGCTCGTATAATTTAGACTTTTAATTTGTGATTTAAATATACCGATCACCGAAGGTCTGTATTAGTTTTAAAGCGAAAGGTTGGGGGGGGGGTGGATGGCCGAATGGTTAGCGCATGCGCGTTGTATCATAAGATCTGCCATTGAGTCAACTGGCGTGGTTTCGATTCCTCGGGACAAGGGGTAGGGTCACCTGTCCAGTGTCCAACCTTGTGGGTTTTCTCAGGGTCCTCCGGTTTCCTCCCGCTGCTGAAGACCCGTACGCGGAAGCGAATTATTGAAATAAAATTTAACCATCTGTTAGTCCCGAAATGACCTAGTTTGTGTCGAGTGGACGTTTAACCCCCTTTCTTTCTCTCTCTTACCAATATTGTACTTGAAAATGACACGAGAATCATTGTAGATACGTATCTCCGAATAAATATACAGTAATTGTTTTCCATAGAACTCTTGCTGTTTAATTTATTCAGATGAAAATCATTTAAGATCTTTTGACATATAAAGTCAGTTATCGTGGTCAAGAACGTAAATCAAGGAAGAAATTCGTGCAGATTTTCTTTTTTAAAAAAAAACATAACTTTTTAGAGCTGATCTAGATAAGTGAGCAAGACGCGGACTCGCTAACCAGGAGGTTCGGGATGCTCCCCTGGGTGTCCTGACAAGGACAGTATTCGTTCGAATGGTACGAAAAACCGAGGAACCTGTGTACATTTGGGCGTGCAAGTAAAGACTCCTTGAAAGTTGGGATTCGAAATAAGATTACGCCGTAGCGCTACTGTCAGGCACATATCCCTCATAGTACACTGTATGGGGTATGCCCGTCTTAATTAACCCGGTCGGTGCAGACAAGTAGGACGTTAAACCCCATTTTATTTTAAATACTCTACGTTACATGGTCACATGTACATTAATACAGTTGTTAAAAACATAAAAAGTAATTTGTCTATAAAATGACAAGAGCCTTTGTATTTTATGTCATCATATAGTGGTCATTTAGACAGATTTATAAAACATTAAATGAAAATGTAACTGAGTTGTAATTCGAATTATAGGAAATAAATGAGATAACAAAGACAATATATGAGGTCTAATTAACCATCTGTATTTTATATAAGAATGAAAAGTTTGAAGTTTGTTATTAAATCTGAAACACGGGTATTCAAACTATCCCGAAGCTTGACAAGTATTCCAAGGTCAAACGCTGCAACTTTTTAAAAACTCTTTCTAAAGATCCCGAAGATTGACAAGTATTCCAAGGTCAAATGTTGCCAACTTTTAAAAAAACTCCTTTTACGGATCTCGATGCCTGACAAGTATTCCAATATCAGACGCTGAAACGTTTTAAACTCATTCTACGGATCTAGACGCTTGACAAGTATTGTGATGCCAGGAGCCGAGACGGTTTTAAACTCTTTCTACGGATCTCGAAGCTTGACAAGCATTCTGGTGCCAGACGCTGAAACTTTTTAAAAACTAGACAAGTATCCCGATGCAAGATACTGAAACTTTTTTCAAAACTTATTCTATGAATCATTTATAATTTGAAAGATAAAACAATATAAAAGTACCACGTTAATTGTTGACCTTTCCAAATAATCGAGAAGTGGTATCAAGTGTTCATTGTTTAAGCATACACTGTTCCGAACACATTACCTGTTACTAATTGGAGCGATAGTTTGGACTTTTATAATCGGAAGTTGCCCCGTAGAGATGATAACCTTCCAACGAAAAAGTGTCACGACATACCGCCTTTAAAATGTTTGAATTTTAATTTTATTTCGTTTATTTTAATATAGAATCGATGTTCTTGTTTTTTCAGCTCGCTTTGCCTGGGAATCGAATGATCCTGAAATAGTGTCGGATGTCTTGTTTGCTATAGCTAATGTTCTTGTTTTTTCAGCTCGCTTTGCCTGGGAATCGAATGATCCTGAAATAGTGTCGGATGTCTTGTTTGCTATAGCTAATGTTCTTGTTTTTTCAGCTCGCTTTGCCTGGGAATCGAATGATCCTGAAATAGTGTCGGATGTCTTGTTTGCTATAGCTAATGTTCTTGTTTTTTCAGCTCGCTTTGCCTGGGAATCGAATGATCCTGAAATAGTGTCCGATGTCTTGTTTGCTATAGCTAATGTTCTTGTTTTTTCAGCTCGCTTTGCCTGGGAATCGAATGATCCTGAAATAGTGTCTGATGTCTTGTTTGCTATAGCTAATGTTATCAGCTTTGCTCGAACTACCTACCTCATGCCCGCCTTCGAGGTGTTGGGCCCGCTTCAAATCTCGTTGGGGCGTATGATTGGAGACATCACTCGATTTATGGTGCTTTTTACATTGGTGAGTTAGTTATCTACCTTCTTACCCATATTGACTTCCGTCATTTTGAGACTACCATTCGTTTAATATTCTTTTCTAAAGTCACACAAGGTTTCCTTCCCTAATAGTGGTGCAGGATGGAGGGCATGACAAGGACAGTGTATAGTCGTTCGGATGAGACAAAAAACGAGGTCCCGTGAACACTTCGACGTGCACATAAAAGACGCCTTGTCAGTTTGAAACAGTAGGCCGTAGCGCCACTGTCCAGGCAAAATTTCCCATCATAGCACACTATATAGTCTTCATTAGCCCAGTCGGTGACGAAAAGTAGGACGTTAATTAACCCCCCATTTCATGTCATCATGTAATTGCGAACAATATTATTAATAACTTTCTGCTTATATAAATTATTTCATATACACACAGCTGGCTGTGCTTATGTTTCTTAATTAATGTGGCCATTACTTACTACCTACATGTATTGTTGCAATCGGAAACATCCGTTCATTTACGTCCCTAGCTGAATATTATATCTTTCTGCTTATATAAATTATCTTCATATACAAACAGCTGGCTGTGCTTATGTTTCTTAATTAATGTTGCCATTACTTACTACCTACATGTATTGTTGCAATCGGAAACATCCGTTCATTTACTTCCCTAGCTGAATATTATTAGCGGTTTTTAGATAATTGTTGCGTGTGGGTGAAAGTGCTACACCTACCTGACAGCATTCATCTATCTCTTCTTCTATATTGTCTGGCCTGTGTCTAGATCACTCAAAATTATTACAGACAATTTAAAAGCACTCTCTGATCTTAAAGAGGTGTTAGTACTTGGGGATCTTCGCTGTTTACAGATAAGTCAAAGTTATTTCAGACAATTTAAATGAACTAACATATCTTAAAGAGGTGTTAGCACTTTGAAGATCTTCGCTGATTGTGGAGTGTGTAGGGGCGGGGGGGGGGGGGGGGAGTACCAGGCCATTGTTGAAATATACACGATTTAAGATCCAATTTACAGGTCGTATAAATATTGCTGCTTGAGATTTGGTTTAGCCAAGCTTAACATTACTTTTAAATTGACATTGTTAAAAGTTAATTATATGTTTTTCTTAGGTGGTAATTTCCCTGAGAATTACTGTAAAATGTCATTATTCACTATGTTATTACATTTGTGATAAACTCTCTTTAATATATGTACTTTATAAACTAAGAAATGAAATGAAAAGAAATGGGGTTTAACGTCCCACTGTTCTGCTCCGACTGGGCTAATGTATACGGAGACACGACATGCAGTGTGTTATGAGGAAAATCTTGCCCGGACAGCGGCAATGACTATACGTTTCTCTTGCCTGACACCCCGTCATTCACCTCTGCCAAGGAGGAACCACTCCGGAAATTCCCGATGGACTTTCTCGGCAAACACCGGGACTGAACACGGTACCTCCAGGCTAACTAACCAACGTCTTACATCAACCTTCTCCTTATTTCAGGTTCTATTTGCTTTCATGGTTGGTCTGCACAACCTCTACTGGTATTATGGCGCTCAGAAAATAAAGATGGAAATGAATGGGTATCATGTAACAGTACACGCAGCTAAAGCATTCCAAGGGTTCGTATTATTTTATTGTATTTTTGGGGGGTTGGATGGCTGAATGGTTAGCACGTGCGTGCTGTATCATAAAGTCTGTCATTGAGTCAAATGGCGGGGTTTCGAATCCCCGGTTGTACGTGACAAGTATTAGGGTCGCCTGTCCAACCTGTGGGCTTTCTCCGCATCCTCCGGTTTCCTCCCACTGCTAAAGACCCGTACGCGCAAGCGAAATATAGAAATAAAATTGAACTTCGTGGGTTTTCTCCTGGTCCTCCGGTTTCCTCCCACTGCTAAAGACCCCTACGCGCATGCGAATTATGGAAATAAAATTGAACCATATGTTAGTCCCGAAATGACCTAGTTTATGTCGAGCGGACGTTAAACTCCATTTATCTCTCTTTATTTATTGTATTTGTAAGCTACAGTCCCAGCAGGTCATTTGAATAGTCAATAATACAGTTTAAAGCCATATATAGTCAAATTCATTGATTCAGAAAGTATTAAAATCAGTCTGTGAACATAACTTATGACCGTATTGATTTCTTATGTAGCCAAAGCCAAGCTATTATGGGCTGTCTACTGGGGAAATTTTAGTAAACCCGTACGTGAGACTTATGCGTCACTTGCGTGTTTTCGACACCGTAGAAGATCGCAAACTTGCCGTAGAGACGTTTGGTCCTGCCCATACAAAATTTTCACCCGGTTTCTTGGGCTGGCCTGCGAGCTACCAAACCCTACGACCAGTGCGTGTCAAAACACGTACGACGGGTTGTTAGCTAGGCTTTAGACAAATAAGGTAACAATAAAAGTAAAGAGACTTTTTAGTTTGTCAGTTGTACAGGGGTGGGGGGGGGGCTAGGAGCGGGGATCTAGTCATTTAGATGGTACGGTAACCCGAGGTGACGTGTACACATTAAAGTGCACGTAACTGAACCCTTGACGTTTTGAATAGGAATTGGATGCGCGCGCTGTCCAAGTAAAATGTGCCACATATTACACTATATGACGTACACCCGTCTTCATTAACCGGCCGGTACAAAAACGTCAAACCCCATTTAATTTGATTTCAAAAGATTAGACAAAAATACCGTCGTTAGAATCTAAGATATTTACAATCGCAATATTCCAAACAAATGCATTATATCATTATTTACGGTGAGTTTAACTTGTCGTGTAATATGCAACAATTATGAAAGGTTGTGTGGTACAATTGCATATAAAAACCATTATCCAATGTCGTTTTATAGTGCTGTACATGCCTTTGATGATAATGCGTTTTTGATTACAGAAACCATCATAGAGGTTATCCGTCGTTTATATGAATCATTTCACAAATCTATAGAATGTATTTATACTCCAGTCTTTTAAGAAAAATTGTTTACACCCTAGTCTTTTATGAAAGGCTGTTACAATATTAATATCTAACGCCTATCTCTGAAACTGGTTTTAAGATTTCATCTTAGATTCCTTTGGTGAGTCTTGTATCTTCATTCCTTAAGTTTCACTGAAGTGTTAGACACGATAATTATCTCAGAAAGAATCTGACAGTAACATGTTTAAAACTTGTCATGTTTGATATCGGTATTCAGCGATCGAGAAGGAACTGTTCTTGCTGCAAGATTCCTTAAATATTTTGCCTTTAAGCGAGAGAGAGAGAGAGAGAGAGAGAGAGGGGGGGGGTTAACGTCCACTCGACACAAACTCGGTCATTTCGGGACTAACATATGATTCATTTTAATTTCTATATTTCGCTTGCGCGTAGGGTCTTTAGCAGTGGGAGGAAACCGGAGGACCCGGAGAAAACCCACGAGGTTGGACAGGCGAATCTACTCCTTGTCACGTACAAGCGGGGAATCGAAACCACGGCAGTTGACTCAATGACAGTCCTCATGATACAGCGCACACGCGCTAAAAATTCGGACATCCAACCATCCAACCCCCCTTGCCTTTAAGCAAAGGATCGTATACACCATATACAATTAAGAAACATCATACAATCCTTTAATTTGCAATAAATAAAATAAATTCTACACGTATGTTTAATACCTGTATGATTATTAACATGTTTCATTATGATTTTACATGCGGGGTGGAACTGACAGGTAGATCTAAGAAAACTTGTTCCGTTGTATCATTAAATACTACTAATGTCAGAGAATGTAGGCTAGTTATTTAATTAAACTGTGGATTTATTGACATACACAACGAAGCTTGAAAACCATCTTCGAATAACCGGTACCCGTGCGTGTACATCCAATTATCACTGTAAATTACAAGGTGGCGTATTTAAATGATAGGCGTGTTCGACGATGATGGGAAATAAAATGGGTTTTTAACGTCCTCCTGGCCTGCACCGACTGGGCGAATGGAGACGGGCCTACGCCTTAAAGTGTGCTATGGGTGAAATTGTGTCTCAACAGCGGCGCTACTCTTATTCCTATAGAATTCCATCCGCCAAGAGTTCTTTTATGTGCACGCCAATGTTTTTGTTTTGCACCATCCAAACGACTATATATTGTCCCTTGTCAGTCCCTCTGTCCCACACCACTGGTAAGGAGGGGGGGGCACGCCGGAAAACCCAAAGGAACTTTCTCGGCCACTACCGTTAACTAACCCAAGACCCCCAGGCTAGGTAGCTAAAGTCTTACTAAATGGGCCACCACGGCTCCCGACGATGATAGGAAACGAGCCTAGATTTAGTACCAACTAATATGAAACAGATGATAGCTGTATGTTGAAAGGATTTAAGTGGTCTATCCAACTTAAGAATATTATTACTAACATATTGGAGTTTATATAAATACAATCTATTTATTTGTATCCTTTAGATTTATTTTAATCTAAATTAAAGCCAGTTCCTCATTTGTCGGGCCTTCTGGGTTAATAAACTTCTAGAAAGACTTTGAAAAATGTTCCGAATACTCTGGAAGTCTACACTGTGTAGATGCACTATGTAGGAGCTAATGCTGACTATTGCAGATCTCTTTTGGCCTCGAATGTTATATAAATTACTAATTAGACATTCCTTCACATGGCAAGCCCATGATCAACTCTCTAGTTCATCGGATGGTTGTGATTTTGAACGGATCAAAACACATTCGCCATTTAATAATTTATTTTAAAACTGGAAAATCGAGACTATGTTTCTTATCTTAACAACGGTTGAAAATCGCCGAGACTATCCTGTTCTTCAAACAGTCATAACTTGGTTCAGAATGAATTTATTTGACTGAAATTTTCAATCGAGATTCTTTGTAGTTTGAAACCCTACTGCTTTTTGACTGGAGATTTTCAGTCCGATTCCAGATACATGAATCGGGAAATCCTTGGACGTTCGCGGGTCAACAACAGAGCATGTCAGTCATGTCAGAAATCAAATCCATTTTTCTAAAACTGTTCCTGAAACACAGTGGGTCTAGATCTTGTATCACATTAATTATTCAATCCCCAAGTGGTTGTTGTTGTTCTTAGTGTTTAACGTCCGCTTCCCCTGAAAGTGATATAGCAGACAAGTTGTCTTATTTTCATTTTTATTATCTTAGCGCACGCGCAGGGGGTCTTTCCTGTGGGAGGAAACCGGAATATCTGGAGTAAACCTACGAGGTTGAGAGGGTGCCCCTGTCTCCAAGACAGATACGCTCACACCAGGGATCGAAACCACAACTGCAAGCCAGAGGTGACCGGCCAGCTAGAGGTTGAAGCGCGACACACTAGACCCCTAGGCCATTCCAAGCCCCGAAAAACCCTAAGCCTTGAGTTTTGTTTTTATACTTCAGGTTACGTCAGACGTTTTTCAGTTTATTTTGGTCAATGTTCGGCCAAGTTAGTATAAATGATATAAGTGTTAAACATCCTCGACCTGATGGTGGTAAGTATTATATACATATACTTATATTATATAGGATTTTGTTTACTAATACACTATTTTATTAGTATATTCTATATTTGACGTATATAGATCGGTTTAGCATTAAACCCCTTTCACACATAACGAAGACCTCGCTTCGCCCTTATAGACCATAGGCCAAAGCCATATTTTTGCCTCATTTTTATGGTGAATACATAAATCATATATCAAATTAAAGGGTAGGATATCTTCTAACTAAGCATGTAATGTTCTCCTTCCTATGTATGTTCACTAGAAAACTAACGATCGTGGTGAGGTTGTGGTGCAATGCGAAAAAACAATAACATTAAGTGTGAAGGCTACTACGTTCACAGAGATCTCCCTATATCGGCCCTGGTCCAATCGTCTCTCAGCCACGATCTGGCTGATTTGTTTAATTCGTAGCGAGGTCGTGGTGTATGTGTGAAGGGGTCTTTAGGGAAAGTGCGAGATACTTAATTATTGATGAGATTACCTTTGATACGAATTTAAATCAAAGCCCATTTATGCTTAAAATGAATTAACAATATGGCTGCCAATAAAAATCTAATTTCAAGCTTATTTAAATACTTCGCCAAATTTATAAAAGTGAATCTAAATGTATTATCTGAAAAAAGAAAATAAACAACCGTGGCATGCCAAACTACGTATACGATGCTCCAAAGAATAAGTTTGGTAATGTACTAACTAACTCAAATAGATCCATTAGGTTAATGTAACAAATGTGTTATAGACGCACCTGTCAGTCAGGTTCATTTAAATACCTGTTTAATTATAATCCTTATCTCTTGTTAAATCGCTCTATAAATAAATCAATTTGCACATGAACTATTGCTGTGGTCTTTTCTAAAAAGCTTGTTGAATTTTAGTCAGGTGCATGCATTTTGAATATTGATCTAAGGGGTTGTTATTGCCCCCATTTCTCTCTCTTTTTTCATTAAATATTTGAAAATAGTTCAGGAATCATGAATGTCTCTCAGCATTCCTTAGATGAGAAATGCCATTTGGAATTTTCCATATTCACCACGATGGGAGTTATATATAGAAGTATGTCAATTTCCCATGTTCATCAAAAGAGGTGTTAGAGAAGCATATTATATCAATTATTTGCTGAGAGATATTCGTTTATTCTGTCCAGAATTGACTCCTTAAAGGCTTTTTCTGTTGTTCTTACCTTCCCAATTTCTCTTTCTTCTTGAAAGCTTTAATATAGATATAGATTTGTTATTATCCTACAAGTTACTTGGGCATTAGTTGGAATTTTGTTGGTTAAAATGCACATGGCTTTATAATCAGGACTGGATATAATGGTATTGGTTTTACCTGTCACTATATCAGACAATAACGAACTAGTTCCTGACATTTTCAACTTAGTGCCGGACATATATTAATAATATCAATGACAGGCACCTGAAGGATTGTGCGGATTTTACCTGAAAAAGTCTGATTTTGTTTCTGACAATGTTTGTGCCAGGTGCCTTATATCCAGGCCTGTTAATTTATAATAAAAGATATAGAGCTATACATATGTTAAGGAATGAAATATCTAACAAATTATATGTGTGGGTTATTTGCAGTTCGTCAATGTGTGTCTATAGATCAGGACCACAGTAAAATCTTGTGTACTGACGAGAACCATGCGGGCAGTGATTTTTCAGTACCAGGTACTAACGCATGTACAGTAGATGAACTCAATGTTATTTTTTTATCGATGTTATTCTAGTAGCTATATACTGTGTCAGCTTATCGCCCTTCTCTTCACACTGTAAAAATAAAGTTGTTCAATATACTCGTTTTACTCGTGTTTTGCGATTGAGAAACATAGCAATATACTCTTAATGTTATGAAGCTGTTTAGGTGTTGTCTCAGTTGATTCGGCAGCTCAGTGAGTAAGGCACTGGTTCGGTAATTAGGAGGTCCAGGGTTCATTCCCGGTGTTGGATGGGGAAGTTCCTCAGGAATTATCAGTAAGGTTTCCCCTTGTCAGTGATGCACGGCGTCTAGCCATTAGGATGGAATGAAAAACTGAATTCCTGGGTACACCATTGGCAGTTAGCAATTTAAATAAGAGTAGACCGTAGTGCCGCTGCTGTCCAAGGAAATTTCCCTCAAAGCACACACTTTATATCATATGCCCGTCTTCATTAGTCCAGTTGGTGCTCAGCCATTCCTAATCACATATGACATTTCTATTAACACTTTATTGTTCCAGTGTGAAGAGACAAAGATGATGATACGAAGTGTAATTGTGAATTGTTAAATGTAAAAAGAAATTTTTGAATCGTTATTAATATAATATACTGAAAAATAAAAACAATCTCCTAGCTTATTGTGGTTTGTGCTGTTATTGTTTTGCTGTAGAACAGAGTAGCGTGTACGCTATCATCCCCCGTATATAAACTAAAATACTGACCGGAACTGCTCGAAATTGTTTCCATGAATAAGATGGTTCTTCATTAGACCGTTTGCGTCAGCCTCTTGTCAGTAAAACCCACAATATATTGCTCTTTGAATTTCAATTCGGTACCCTTACATGAAAAAAAGTGAAATTATGTACCTTCAAAAATTCACAGATGAGGCTATGGATAGGTGGGTGGGAACGGAAGTAGGTTCAATAACGTATAACATGAAAAATATTGTATTGTATCTTTGAAGATGTTAGTACATATTGACCTTTGTAAAAGTGTGGCTTTAATTCGCATATTCAGTTCGTTATCAAACACGATTTTTGATTGGTTTATATCAAACCAAAGGTCGTCTATCCACAAAGCGATTTATCTTTCACTCGGTGATTTTTTCACTATGGCACATGCGCAATACGTCGGTTGGATGTCATATAACGTGAAAACAAATTTCAGGAAAAGGAATCTATCCTATCGATCCTACTTTTTCAAACCTCAATTTCATGGTTGGATGGTCTAGTGGTTTAACGCATGTGCGTGAAATGATAAGATCTGTCATACGATTTCCCGCTTGAACGGGTTTCCCCCCACAGCTAACATTGAACCATATGTTTAAATAAAATTGAGTCCCAAAATACCCCCCCCCCTTCTCTCTCTCTCTCTCTCTTGTGTCGAGTGGACGTTAACCCCCTCCCTCTCTCTCCCTCTCTCCCTCACAAAGTTCGGAAAATCGCTTAGTGGAGAAGGGCCTTAATACATCTAGTATAGCACCACCTTTACCAAGTGTGGCTCACACAGTAGTTGACGAGGATAAGGTCAATATGAACTTCTAGATAAAACCCAACATCGCCTCGTTTAATTTAAGATAAGCGTAATTGTAACGACAGGACGATATACCCACTACTACCCAATACCACCCAATACTAACTAAATTTAAGTATTATGTTAGTTTTTCACGATAATGGAGTAGTATTTGGTATTATTGGTGGTAGTATTGGGTATTGGGTGGGGCGGTTTATTATATACCACCCAATACTAACCAATACCAGCTAATACTAACTAAATAGTAAACATTATGTTAGTTTTTCACAATAAGTTAGTATGTGGTAGTGTTGGGTAGTATTGGGTAAATCGTTCTGTCTGTAATGTAACCCTTGTTAAGTGTTAGCAAATGGTATATATGACTGAGGATGTTGTATAAAGCATGATTCAACTTTTTATTGTATTATTATAAAATTAAAATGTATTAAAGTATTAAACTGAAAATCTTCGACGCTAGTGGGTTAGATCCTCCAATTACACGCTCTAGGATTTTGATAGTCTCTTGTATAATAAGATTACTGTTACCAAATAAATTCTGTTAAATCTCCAGAGAGCCCAAACTGTAAATAATTGTTGTCAATTAACTATTTCATTCATTAATCAAAATCGTTCACGCTCTTCGTCCAACTCTGAATTCGGAAGAGCTCTCTACAAGATGTTCAGGTCCGCATTTGAATGGCTACCTTAGATGATTAAAGAAGCACAACAAGGTTAAACATTGAACATCTTGTTAACTTCGAATGAACATGTCAATAAATTGTCAACTAAGTTACGTCATTCAATTTAAGTTAGTTAATTGAAGTGGAGTTCCAGGAAACCACTACTAGACTTGTGTGTTTTTAAAGATGGATTCTTGATAAGCCATTCAGTTGGAAGTTAGATAGTCTCGGGCACCCAGAAACTCATGATCTTCAATTTGTCTGAAAGATAGAGACCAGAGTTTGGATTGTTTTGTAGAATTTGTTGTTCATAAAATTCCTATAATTGTGTTTTTTCTTTTATTTTTCTACAGTATATACATCTGGAAGTCGTCATCTAATAGAAGAGAGTAGTACAGCCATTGTAGAAGGTGTTGGGGTGTCGTTATTTGGTCTCTATCATGTTGTGATTATTATCGTACTTATCAACATGTTGATTGCTATGATGAGTCACTCGTTTGAGGATATACAGGTCTATAATACTTTCTAATAGCTTTTTAAGCTTCTTATTCTACTATGTTGTCAAACTGATTGAAATACAGATCTATATTTCGTTTCGTTTTATTTTTATATTATCGATGGTCTCCAAATTTTGAACTATAAAAAACGAAACGAAATAGGATCTGTGTTTTAATCAGATTGCTGTGCTGTTAGATTACATTTCGTTTCGTTTTACTTTTATATTTTCGATGGCTTCCAAATTTTGAAGTATAAAAAAAGAAATAAAATAGGATCTGTGTTTAATCAGATTACAGGAATATTTCATATGCATTCACTAACGGCGTGATGCTAATATGTCACATCTGAACTCCAAATTCCCGATTAGATCTTACTTCTTTGGAGGGTGGCACCTCCTTTTGTCTATGCAACTGATACAAGACATAGTATGATTGATCATGTACTGGAGACCATAAATTACCATAATGTTCTCTAGTCAATAAACTTGTAAGATAGCCCATACTAGTGTTTATCACAGATATGCAAATTGCTGGCACGCCCCCCTAGATCCTAACTCCCCGAATAAAGGAATTCTGGCTGAGTAAATACAAAGCGCCTCTGAACACATTACGTAATAATAATGCAGTATGATGTGTATTAGCACTGTATAATTTCACGATATATAGCGAGAGTGTGAGAGAGAGAGAGAGAGAGAGAGAGATGGGGTTTAACGTCCACTCGACACAAACCTATGGTTTAATTTTATTTCAATAATTCGCTTGCGCGTAGGGATCTTTAGCAGTGGGAGGAAACCGGAGGACCCGGAGAAAACCAAGATGTTGGACAGGCGACCCTACTCCTTGTCACGTACAACCAGGGAATCGAAACCCCGCCAGTTGACTCAATGACAGACCGTATGATACAGCGCGCGCGTGCTAACCATTCGGCCTTCCAATCCCCCATGATATATAGCAATTAGTCATTTGGGAGAGACACTAGGTTTCAAGACAGTAATCCTGTAAATAGTTGTTCATAAGTTTTGGTGTGTTTGTTTTTCTTAAGATGTATTAACACAATCGCCATTTAATAATGTAATTTAAAAATGGATAATCGAGACCTTCTTTATTATCGTAACAACGGTAACAATGACAATCGAGACTACACTGTTCTTCAAACGGCCATAGCTTCGCTCAGACTGAAGTAATTTGACTGAAATTTGCAAGATATCGCCTTTTCATTATTTATTTTTTAACTTGTATAGTATAGCGAGAACTGTCAGCTCCTTATCGAGAGAGAGAGAGAGAGAGAGAGAGAGAGAGAGAGATGTGGTTTAACGTCCACTCGACACAAACTAGGTCATTTCGGGACTAACATATGGTTTAATTTTTTTATTTCAATAATTCGCGTATGGGGCTTTAGCAGTGGGAGGAAACCGGAGGACCTGGAGAAAACCCACGAGGTTGGACAGGCGACCCTACTCCTTGTCACGTACAACCGGGGAATCGAAACCCCGCCAGTTGACTTAATGACAGACCGTATGACACAGCGCGCTTGCTAACCATTCGGCCATCCAACCCCCCCCCCCCCCATCCCCCGCTCTTTATCGAAATCTTACATAATGCATACTGCATCTTTAATATTGTATACTATGTTGGGGTCATATATAAAACAGTAATATAATTATTTGTGATGTATTTTCCAGACTGATTGTGATGTAGAATGGAAGTTTGCTCGTAATAAACTATGGTTGAATTATATGGATGATGGTAGTACACTACCAGTTCCATTTAACATGATACCAACACCTAAATCTTTTCTCTATGCTGTCGACTTCTGTAATTTCTTATTTAAAAGGAAAGACACTAGTATATTAGAATACGGGAGAAAAAAGAAACAAACATTTCTTAAGGTAAATATTGGATATTGTGTACATTATTATTCCATGTCATATTTTGCAAATTTCGAAGAATGAAGCCCCTTAGTAAGGAAAAGCCATTGATAAAGAACATACGCCTGGATGTTTGAATGTAACCGTATAAACATTGCCATGCATGCAAGGGGTTTAAAGGACAATATTTGTGTCATTGTCATTATCACATGTGATAGAATTCGTTAAGTCATTATCACATATGTGATAGAATTCCTTAAATACGTTCCAATTATAATTTTAACACAGAGATCATTGCTGCGATAGATGCGTAATAAAAATTTCAACAATCGGAAGTAACGAACGCAATAGGAAAACATAAGTTATCCCTCTATATAACTGACTGAAGTGAAGAGTGAAAGAGTGATAACAGTTACATGGGCGAATTTCTGCTCACTGACAATTCCTTCGAAGATCAAAAGTTGTTATGTTAAGGTATAGAATGGACTTTTTCTATTTTTCTCTTACCTAGTGACAGCCAATTCTTTATGTTAAAATTTTATTTGGAACGTGTTTAGCGAGTTCTATCACATATGTGATAATGACTGACACCAATATTGTCCTTTAAATTTCGAAAAAGGGATGGAAAACTTCACTTGCCATTGTTTTGTCAAATTTCGCCTTTTTTGCATTGTTTAACGGATATCAAAATTACTGTAAGATTTACAGATGTCCTGCAGTACTCTACTCCATCACTTTGTTGAATAATATATATTTTATTTTAGAATGTTTTCTGGACTTTTTGGATTTTCTTATAGAGACCATGGGCTTAATAAAGATGTATCATATGTCACCCAGACTTAAATTGGAAATAAAACAAAATTTATATTTCATAACCCCTTAGCAAGGGTAACGAATATTAGTCTGTTAATCAAGGAAAGATCTAGGATACACTTCAGTAAATAATCAGGCTAATTCTGTGTAGAATGTCCTTACAACACGGTTGGGTGACCGAATACTCTAAGGTCTGCTCTCTCTCTCTCTCTCTCTCTCTCTCTCCTGGTCCCTTCTATTGCAAGCTTTGTGATGCTTTTTCAAAGAAGTAGTACCATCCACTTGTCAGGGTCAGGGTTAGTGGGTGACGAACTTCTTGATTAGCAATCATCTTGTGTCTGGATGAATCTATCTAATGGTTGCACGGTGACAGGTTCCTGATATATTATAATTTGGCATGGTATATCCTCGGTATTACTGTGTATTAACTAACGTCAAACGGCATCGGTAAGTCATATCCTTCGAAAACATATCAAGGGCAAATCGTATCGCTTGTAATAATATCAGGGGCAAGCGCACTACAAGATTTTTTTGTAACTCCTATACAAAAATGGTATGGTTCTCCTTCTACCGGTCATAATGTCGCATTTTTTGTCTTCGGGTCGTAAATATTCGTCCCTATTGCTGTTGCGAAATTATTTCATTGTTCTATGGCAGACAACTTGTAGCTCGGTTAAATGTCAAGGGTGGGAATTGAATGAAGAAGACAGGGAGTATAGAAGATATAATTGACCTCACTGGAGAGGTGTTTCATAGGCGCTACAATGTATGGTACGTGGCGCCGTGGAAACATCTACCTAGTGGGGTTAGAAGAACAACACAACAAAAAGATGGAATTCAATCCGTGAAATAATTCAAATGGTTTGGTAAAGTGAAAAGAAAACAAAGTTATCAGATTTCCTATGTTGAAACGCTGTAAACGTTGAAGAGATAATTATTTAAATGACCCAGACATATTGTACTGAATCAAACGGGTTAAAGTAACCCCTATCCTATTCAGGTACTACTACCTTGGTTAAAGTAACCCCTATCCTATTCAGGTACTAGTGTCCTGATCTGTATAAAGAAACCGCTATCCTAGTCAGGTACCACTATCAAGAAACATCTTCCCCAGTCAGGTACTACTGTCCTAATATGTGTGCTACTTGTTCGAATAACTACAGATTTTGAGTTCCCTACTATCCGCAGATTTTTTGCCGAGTTCATTGGTCGTCGCATTATCGCTTCACCCATGTAATGGAACAAGTGATTTAAACAAGTCTAGCGCACTCGGCAAACCTCGGCAGACTCCGGTACACTACATGTAACCTTGGGCGTATGAGAAATTCCGCCATTGGAAATACTTTCAAATTCCCGAATTACAAACTAAGGGTACAACGAAGACTCCTAATGAAGGGTGTTTTATCCTACAAAGCTTTCAATGTCTGAAGCTGTTTTTCTTTTATTTAAACAAAGGACAGCTTTGCCATGAAAATTCTGCACTATCCTCGAACGACGCCATAATAAGTAAACCGGTAGCCGCGTCACGATTGTATGGGTCAGATCTATTTACGAACGCCACCTGCAGATTCTCCAAAGGTCACGAGATGTAAACAGGGTTAGAGCACGTGATTGTTGGCGAGGATTGTGGATTAGAGTAAGACTTGGATCTAGGTCTTGGGTTGGGATTAGGGTTAGCGCTAATCCTGTTTACATCTCGAAACCTTTGAGGAAATCTGCAGGTGGCCTTAGTAAAAAGATCTAACTAATCTAACCAATTGTATGGTGTAGCTACTTTCCGTCATACAGCCGGGGGCGTTGGATGGCTGAATGGTTAGCGTGCGCGCGCTGTATCATAAAGTCTGTCATTGAGTCGACTGGCGTGGTTTCGAATCCCCGGTTGTACGTGACAAGGAGTAGGGTCGCCTGTCCAACCTCGTGGGTTTTCTCCGGGTCCTCCGGTTTCCTCCAACTGCTAAAGACCCCTGCGCGCAAGCGAATTATGTAAATAAAATTTTTAAAAAAAATATGTTAGTCCCGAAATGACCTAGTTTGTGTCGAGTGGAGGTTAAACCCCATTTTTCTCTCTCTCTCTCTCTCTCTCTCTCTCTCTCTCTCTCTCTCTCTCTCTCTCTCTCTCATATACAGCCGAAGCTAGCTGTAGGGTACTGCCGAGGGTTTTGTCTAGCTATCATTTCCGAACGACTCAATCTTTTGAGCTGAAACTTTCAGAAAAACTATTTGTGCTATTATTGCACATTTTAGCATATAATTTGTATACTTAAATTTAGTTACATCAACGGATACCCAGACAAACATTTCAAATGGGAACTGTTTTCATAGTGATATAGCTGTAATATTGTGATTGGAGGGTGTAAGGTATCTAATCACATTCCTTGGTGAAGTCTGCATCAGTAAATCTTCAGCATCACATGGATCTAGCAAACGCATGTATATATCCGCCACTTGATAACGAGATATGAACAAAGTGTTCCGAAAATATGCAAGATTATTCGACATATATATGGCCATAATCGTTTCATCAGCTTTTGAGTCTAGATGGCATTAAATAGAAAAAATCAAATTTCTTACATGTTTTTGTTTCTATTCGTGTCATTAGAAAAATTCGTTCATTCCATTATCTACTCCAATTTCAGAAACGGCGGGAAACTGTATTAAAGAACTTGAAGATAACAGAAGAAGAGACGTCATATATTGATATCATGCATCGATTGGTTAAAAGATATCTCTTCAAGTTAGAAAGAGCTAAAGATGAAAAAGAGAAACGTAAATAATCCTTTTAATTTTGCTTTCACCAATAATCTAGTTTTCTATGGAAGATATTTTAGCTCTCTACCAAGGTTTTTTTTTAATTCTTCCGCGCGTGTCTACTTCAGTTTAATAATCAAATCGTCCTAGACCCAACAAATTTTTTATTTAGATATTGATGTTTCAGATATCTTGGTTATCGATATTTAATGAAGGTCCCTTTGAAATTCAAACCATCTTTATATTTAGCCGATAAAAAATAATATTATAGAATCTACAGCGCGGTTCAAACGAACTTAGTTTGTAGTACAGCAAGGGGGGGGGGGGGTAGGGGGTAGATGGATTAGGGGTTAGCACGTGCGCGCTGTATCATTAAGTCTGTCATTGAGTCAACTGGCGTGGTTTCGAGGTTTCCAATCCCTGGTTGTACGTGACAAGGAGTAGGGTCGCCTGTCCAACCTCGTGGGTTTTCTCCGGGTCCTCCGGTTTCCTCCCACTGCGCAAATTCGTGGTGGTTCTAATTATATTTTTGTTGTTTTTTAGTTCAAAATATGACTGGTGGTGGTGGTAACTGTGGGCCCATGGATCATGTGGAAATATTTGATCCCTCCCAAGAAGAAACACCTCCCCCGGTTCCTGATATTCCTTCTAGATTCCAGTTTGCCACGCCCTTACCAGGTGAAGAAGACCCGGATGAACGGAATAAACAAAGTAAGTTGCGATTACAACATGTGTTAATGATTGCAAAATGTCTTAATTACAATGTGTGTTAATTACATGTGTTAATTACAAAATTACAGTGTGCAGTGGTACGAATTACAATGGGTGAGGATTACTGCTTGCATTGCGTCTACGTGTTAATTACAAAATATACTAATTACAACCTGCATTAATTACAGTGCGTATTAATTAATGATACAGAAAGGAAAATAAGTGTTTTCTTGACCCAAATGAACTAAAATAAAATAAATTAGTTAAATTTAGACCATGTTTTAAAAACCCCAATCGTAATTACTTTGCACATAAATCTGCAGTTTATTTAAGATCCTGGGGATATGAGAACGTTGAATATCGATTGGTGGTTGCCTCTAGATAACAATAGCTGACCTTTTCAAACGTTATCTTGTCTGAAACCCCTTTTAGAATTAACATATCTTGAAGAGTTCTGTTATTGCCAGAAACACTAGTCTGCTTTGATCACGGACAATAATAGGACAGTACAAATACCTTGTATTGTACAATGTGTATATCATTACTTTAAAACGGTGCCGTTCGGCATTAATCAATCACTAGGGAGATTTATTGTAAAGAACCATTTACTAACCGGTAATTATACGGGAAACGTTTTATAACCCTCAAACTACTGTATTTAAATATCCTTTTAAAAGTTGACATGAATATTCTTAGTTCCCTCCTCTATTATCCTGTTCACTATTTCTTTAGCTTTTCTTATCGTGCTTTTTTTCTTTTCTCTTTTTTTTCCCATCTAGTTAAATTGTCTTCTCCCAATCACCAACAGCAAGCATCTAAACGAAGACAGCAATCTAAATCACAGCAAAGACGGCCATCGGCGGCTAATCTACCTATAGCAACGACATTGGCAATACCCCAACTGGATGCAATAATGCGTCAACAAAAGTTACTGGACTTACGGTTACAACAGTTACAGTCGGACAGTAAAGACAATAATAGAATGATGGACGACGTTGAATTTATTCGCCGTTTAATGTCAGAGAACCAAAAGGCTCTGTGTAATGTGGTACAAGCGTTATCAAACATACAAGGCGAAATAGTGAACCTTGCCCAGTGTTTGCGCCCGACACCATCAAAACCTGCCCAACCAATAGAACCCACTCCTAATGCAGTGACAAACGCACACCCGAAAACGAACACTACATCCATGAATCGTTCAGCTTCAGTGAGAAAAAGATCGGCTCCTGATGAAGGGGAGAGCAAGGTATAACGTAGTGAAGACGCCTTTTAATATAATAAAATTGTGATCGAAGGGTTTAAAACAATTTCTTTAATATACATTATGACGGGTAGTGCTGGCGCTACAGCCGAAACACTGGATGATCTTAGAATATTTCTATATTGATATGATTCACGTTTCTGGAGATTTTTTATAAGGCTGTTAGTGATAAAACTCAAAACTTCTTTTATCTTTATCATAGAGAAATTATTATTATTATTATTATTATTATTATTATCGAAGTGTTGTTGATTTTGCTGTTGTGTGGATGTCTGTCTGTTTTTGTGATGTTGCGCTGCAGATGATCCATATTATAATTTGTGCGTGAACCATACCCTGGCCAATAGAACTAACGAGACTTTAAATATGCATTATGTAAGAGCTAAATCTGGCTAGTGCAAGTCATTTTTTTTCACGTATCAATTGTTAAACAAATGATTGGATTAGTTAGAACACATCCGGCATTTAATAATTTAACGATAAAATAGATAATCAAGACTTTGATAACATTGAATTTTTTCAATCGAGACTATCTTGTGAAAACTCCAAACACTCAACATTTTGCTCAGAATAAAGTATAGCAAGAACGGTCATCTCTAAATCCAAATCTTGTATAGTGCATCTTTAATATCACTGAATAGATCTAAGAGTAAAATTGTCGATCGGTAATTCTACTGCTTGTCAAATATTCACGCCGATTCCTTTTTCATAATTGAGTTTAAATTACCCATTACCTTTAAGAACGAAAGATGATATTAGATTTCCTTAAGGAATATGAAGTGTGAAAAAATATTTCTGGTGTCTTTAGTGTCACGCGATTTGATATTTATTTCTTCGCTCCCAAAACGGAACTTTTATTATTGTCCAACAAAATAACTCTACGACGCGTTTTACAAATATTTTTTTTGTTTATTATAGGTGTCGACATTACGAGTCCATTTTGTCGAATGACGCTCTTTACTTTTGTTCCACTGTATACATGGCGTAGTCAGCAGATTGGTTCCTGCAAAAGGTACCAAGGGAGACAACTACAATATTTTAACATTCTCATATTTTGTCAAAATTCGATAAAATGGATGTGCAATTTCTATAGCAATAATTTAAAGTTTTCGGTATATATTTTATATTGTGAACTTCACCTCATAGTTGTTGCACCGAATGCCTTGTTGGTTTTGATGTGTTTAGTATTTATATATTTAATTGTAAAAAGCTATTTTTCATGTAATGATCTCTATCAGAGTTATGTCCCCTTTCTTCGTCTTGCGACCTATTGCAAACACCACGTTTATTATTATTATTATTAATTTATAATGTAATTAATATTTCTAGGTAATTTAAGCCTTTAACATGTTTTCAACTAGGCAGCCAGCAATGTGTATCATACTTAACTTCTAATATGTATTATGCAGGCTTATTCATGTGGTTATTTATATTGTGGACATAACAAAAAGTGTCTGTGTGGGTAAACGGAATGGCGATCAGCATCCAGTCAATACAGTACTTTGAGCACTTTTAGACTATTATACCGTTTACCTTGTTTGTCACGTGTACTATGCCACGGAAGTGACTTATTCCCGGACGATCACGCCTACATTTCATCAAATACCCACTGTCATGGCAGGCGCGTGTCCAGCGGAGGGGGCGGGGGCAGGGAGACCGGACCGCCCCCACCCCACCCCCTCTGGCGAAGGGAATATTTTTCTCGCCTGCATTCATGGAAATAACATAGTTTTGGTTCACTCCACTGTAATCCTGGACGTGTATGCACTTAAATTAAATTATCATAAATATTATCTCAATTCTTCTGAATTTATCAAATTCGCGGACCCGTATTTCCCCCTCAACCTTGGACACCCCGCTGCTCAAATTCCTGGATACGCACCTGCATGGGTTCTTTTACGTGCATACAAAAATGTACACGAGTGGGTGCATTGTTTGTATTATTCGAACGAGGCAACTCTCGCAGGGGAAGAAACTTCATTACCCCTTCTTCATTTAGAATCCATTTTATGTTAATAATTGTTTTCAGTTTTCTATTAATGTTTGTGAACAAATTACATGTATATGTTTTTTTCCTCGTGCACTAGTTTACCCCCCACCCCCCACCCAGTAAAATATGGATGACCGAAGAAATACTAGAAATTTGTAGTCCTTGCATCCTAACTACGCTTTCCACATACGCGCTTTCTACAGCGGAGGAACACAGCGTTTCCGCGAGCGATTTTTTGTACTTTCATGTGTACAGAAAAACTGCTGAAAAATCCCAGGATATCTCTTTACAGCACAGAGCCCGACATTGTTTACATTCAGGCTCCGCCTTGTTATTATAACGCCATGTCATGTCCAAAATATATGCCATTTGCGAGATGTATTTGCAGAAACAAGAGCGGTCAGAAACAAGACTTACTAGAAGAGAACCCATTTATGTGTGTACGCCATAATGTAAAGATCCGCATGCGCACACTTAACGCGAGAAAAAACGCCAGCAAAAAAGGCGCTCATTGAGCAACCTTTTTTTTTCGCGCAACGGTCCTATTACATTTTGGGGGGTTAGATGGCGGAATGGTTAGCACGTGCGTGCTGTATCATAAAGCCTGTCATTGCGTCAACTGGCGTGGTTTCGAATCCCCGGTTATACGGGGCAAATAGTAGGGTTTCCTGTACAACCTCGTTGGTTTTCTCCGGGTCCTCCGGTTTCCTCCCACTGCTAAAAGACCCCTACGCGCAAGCGAATTATTGAAATAAAATTAAACCATATGTTAGTCCCGAAATGACCTAGTTTGTGTCGAGTGGACGTTAAACCCCATTTCTCTCTCTCTCTCTCCTATTACATTTGAATTAGACTAACTTTTTCGCCGGATGGAAACACGTACGTGGAAAGCGGGCCATAATACTATAGATATACCCTTGGTAGGGATGATATTTTATACGTGGATCGAGGTGAAGATCCAAATGGAATTGTAGTTAGATGTCTTTTATGTCGCAAACTAAACAAAGATAACCAAGAATACGAAGATCTGTGATCGTATAAAGCGGAATCATCTTTGAATGAAAGTTATGAATAAATATAAATCTTGCTGGAGTTCATTAATTTAATTCAGGCAACAATTTTGATATTATTATAAAACGTTTGAGTCTATGGTAGTCATTTGTGAAATTTGTAATCCATTGCAAACCACAAAGATCTCTAAAACGAATATCAGTCAAAAAAGGATACAAAACGAACCAGCGCCACCTATAATCTTCGCTGAAATCTTTTGATGGGCCTCTTTAAAATTAGACATAATCCATCTCAGGAGATTATCAGCCGTTGATATTTTTATTGTCTTTAATTAAATAGGCAAGTAGGGGCTAAATCTGCCTATTGCAGGTCCTTCTTAGGGTCTTAAATGTTATGTAAATTATTAATTAGACATTTATTAACATGACAAGACTATAATTAACTCTCGAAGCCATCGGGTGGCTCCGATTTTAAGTAGATTAGAACTGTTCGGCCATTTAATGATTTAATTTAAAAATGGAGAAGCGAGGCTAAGACTCGAATGACCAGTACGGTCGTTACGATCAATGCACACATCTTGTCTACACTACAACTATTGATAACTTCGCTCAAAATAAAGTAATTTGAATGAAATATTCAATATATTCACTTTGAATTATCTATTTTTGAAATATTATAGCGAGAACAGTCAGCTCTTTATCTAAATCTTACATAATGTCCCCTTAATTAAACTTGTGTGGGTTACACCGTGAAAAATGAGATATTGAGATACTTTAGTGTACTTGTCGTCTGTATGCCCACCAATTGATAATATTAAATGTGGTCTTTTAATTGTTCAAGTTTAGATATTCTGCATTTTTATTTTCCATTTTAAAATACAATTGTGTGATATATATAATAAATGATTTTACGATATCTTCTTATATATATTGTTTTCCTTGTTTTATTTCCGATGATGTGTGCTTTGTCGCCTAACAATTCTCTGTTGTCTTGAGAGAATGCGATTTTGGGACGTACAGTTGGGTATCTGAAGGCATGGAGACACTTTCCTGGTTCAATCTACTTACAATTATAATTACCATTTCGTTTCGTTTTTTTTGCTCTGCACTTTGCACTGCTCGGAAACCGATTTCCCCTTTCGTCCTCCCATCTTCAGTTCTTACCCTCTTGCACTTGGCGTCTAAATAATAAATGGTGTTGGCAGGCAAGTGTCTTCGGAAACATTTGTTTGTCTGCGATATCACCCGAAGTGGAAGTGGACGTTAAACCGCCCCCAACAACAACAGGGATTTGTGTTATAGTATGACTGATATACAAGACCGGTGACTGGGTCGGATCTAAATATTGAGACCACCTGCAGATTTCTTCAAAGTCACGAAATGTAAACAGGGTTAGGGCACGTGGTTGTTGCCGAGGATCGTGGGTTAGGGTTAGGGTTTAGACCTAACCATATATACTTGGGTTTTAAAATTCCCATAATTCGACGTAAAGTCTTGTGACCATATTTCCTTATGTTGATGGCAATGAAATACAAATATACAATATAAAACGAAACGTTATTGACTATCAGCTTATTTTCTGACCAATCCTTGACACTCCATACCTATGTTCGATCCCGACATCTTCTTTTTCTAGTTGTGAACATCATATATTCTCGGCAACTTATAGGCGGGGAGATTGAAATGAGCACGTACCCTGTACGCCGAGCGGATATTGAACTCCATAAATTTCATGCCGAGCATTTGTGTTACATTTTGCACATCGAATCTGAGATAACCATTTAAACCAATGTCGCTAACTTGCCGAAAAACACACAATGGACCATATTATTATGTGCCGAACAGAAATTAATAAATGATAAATAAATAAAGCGACAAATGGGGTCAGATAATTCTTTGAACATGTTTGTAAAAATTCAATATTATAGTGCCACAACATTTTCTATATTTTATTTACAAAATCCTTGCACGTACAGACATCAAAGCCGGCCTGCTTCTGATATTTGTCAAAATAAAGCTATCTCAAACACTATATTTATCCTTAATTTACCAGGGTCAATAATGTTTTCTTACCTGGATACAAGTTTTCATTAAATCTTGAAACATTAGAATCTCATCCTTGTTAAGTTTCGTTCTTCGTAGTTGACTACATTTCCCTTTAATTAATGGACCTACATATATGTCAACGAGTTGAATAATGAAAGCCCCAATATGCCAGAGTAAATGTTAAACGAACATATTATATTTTAAGATCAGACACACAATATACCGAAAAATATTTTGAAGTCAGTGGAAAAAAGAATAGTGGTTTAATTCCACTTGGATCTTGGTTATCTCCCTTATACAAGCATATATATATATATGTTCAAATAATACTTCTTACTATGAGCCGAGTTGATTATATTGATTACGCTTTACTTTAAGTATATTACGTAAAATATATGCTTAGTATATTTATGTGTGATGGAAGTCAAGTAATGTGAATCCATGAGGTAAGCAGATCCGCAAACTGTAAATATCCTAATCCTACGAATGATAAAGACGAGGGTAGCCATGGCCAATCGTTTGAACGTACTTTGCATGTTAATTGTTTTTTGTGTGTTACTTTTGAATTACTGAAATGAAATCAAATGGGATTTAACGTCCTACTGTTCTGCTCCGAACGGGCCTAATGAAGACTGGCATACGCCATACAGTGTGCTATGAGGGAAATTTTTCCCGGATAGCGGCACGACGGCCTACTCTTATATCGAATTCCAACTGTCAAATGATCTTTTACGTGCACGCCAATGTGTACACGGGACCTCGGGTTTTCGCCCGATCCGAACGACTAGACAGCTTTCCTTGTCAGGCCCTCCGTCCTGCATCACTGACAAGGGGGAACCTCTTCTCAATTACTAAATGCCACTCAAAAAAGACCCAAAGGCTCAACTGTACAGGTAATTTACTGGATGGGATAGTTCCAGGGGTGTTTTCCTAACTTAAAAAGAAGATATAAATAGTGAGAGTCCAGTGGAGCGTGCCTTTCGTGAGCGTCACGGGCGTTTGGTGGATTCGGATGTATATCTTGGGGGGGAAAAAAAGTCACCGGACAGTTACGATGAACTGTAGAAAGTCGACCTATTCTTTGGCATCACACAACAAATCTGATTTGGCAAGACAAAACTCTTCATGTAACATAATAATATCAACTCAAAACCAAAAGTGACCTCATTTCTTGTAGGCAGTCTTAGTTAAAATTTCGTGAAACAGGCCCCAGGGCCCTGTTTTATATAAGCATTAAACATGCATTATGCAAGAGCAAAATCTGCTTATTACAAGTCTTTCTTTAGGCCTGAAATGTTATCTAAATTATCAATTAAACATAATTAACTTATCCAGACCATAATAAACTCTCTATGTCAAGGCTAGTCTTCGATGTTGCCTGGATTAGATTCCTATATGCCGCTAACGGCCATTGATAATTAAATCAAAAAAGTGGATAATCGAGACTATGCTGTTTATATTAATGATTTTAGAAATGATGACCGAGACTATGGAAACATTTCACCCGCTTCTTTCTCGGCTCATAGTGGATCAATTTGACTGAAATTTTCAGCAAATTACCTTTACACTATCTAGTTTTTAACTATTATAGCGAGAACTGCCATCTCTTTATCTTATCTCCCATAATGTATCTTTAAGTGGCTTGTTACTTTATCCATATTATTCATATTATTCCATTCATGGTTGTGTATAAGAATAATGAATAAATACTTTTTAAATCAACATTTCTGTTTCTGTTCATTTTATCATTTAGATCTAGGCCTATATAGGCCTATATGTGGAGTGATGAAAAATCTGTTATTAGATGAACAAAATGCAGGTGGTTATTAGATGAATAAAATGCAGGAGAAAAAAATATGCTCTGTCCGAGGAGGGGAGAGTCCAGATACCCCCGACCCCCATTTGGACACGCGCCAGACTTGTATAGCCTAACATTATTAACACTAGTTATGTGTTAGGTGAATGAGGAAATTTTACGATTGACTGATCATATGGATTTCCAACTGTCAAGGGACGTCTATAACGCGCTGCTAATAGTATACATGTTATGGGACCTATTTTTTTTTTGTACCATCCGAACAAATGAAATGAAATGAAATGGGGTTTAACGACCCATCCGAACGACTAGTAGCTTATATTACTATAACCCTTTGCAGGTAAAGTAATTAAGAGATATTTCTGGTTGGTCAGCATTAATTAAGTATTGTTGTGTAAATATTGTCCTGTTATATTTTGATATTTTATCATTGCTTAAAGGGCCAATCCCGATAATATTTTGGAGAATAAAACTGCTTCATTTTGTATTAAAATCCCTTAAAATCCTCTGCATTAGGGCCGAGCAACTAACTATATGTGATACGTTTTCAAACAACTTAAACCCGTCCGTCTTTATCTGGAAGTGGAGACCGGTGTCACAAAACTGTATTAAGCGGTATGTGGATAAAACCAGACTTTTATTTTATAAAAATAATGTGTCGGTGAAATTTACCTTTCGTTATCAAGTATAGCACATGGGTCATTCACTGTATAAACCTCAAAAGGAAGGGGAATCGATTATCAGGTCACCCATCGAAAAGACTGACCCGAAATCTTAAAAGGGTTACGTGCCCGGATAAGCAGTTTTGATGTTCACGCCCAAATACCTCAGTATTTTGAGCTAAAATTTTGAGACGGGGTTAATACACCATTCCTCTATATTTTGGCGTTTAAATTTCATACGTACTCGGACTTTTATTTTTGAGACTCTGTTCAAATCGGGATAGTCCCTTTAATAATGACTAGTCGAAGATGCCTAGTCGAAACGTCGAAATAAGCAGTAATTGTATTCCATAAAATTGTTACCTGTATACACTCCAGTTCAAATACTAAATGCCATTGAAACAGCATATTATTATAGGCTATAGTAGTAGCCTAGTGCTTATCGCGCAAAATGACAAAGAAAAATTATTTTGAATTTACACAATTAAAACCGAGAAAGTGAAAGTATAAATTATAGTCTAGTAGTTCGGGTGGGAAAAAAACGGACTCGTTCGTTCGTTCCGGGAGTTTTACGTCCACTCCCGCCAATTATAGCACATTAAAAAAAAATGATGGCATCTGCGCTCCTTCATTAGCGCGGTCGGTGCAGGAAAGTAGGGCGTTAACGTTAAACCCTATTTCATTAATTTTATTTCAGTAATTTACTCTAAACATATTCCTACTTTCGTTTTTTTATTGTCTACTTTTTGTATGTCATTTCGATAGCGAGGTCAAATTCTAAACTTAGTAGTCTGCGCAGCTCAGCTGATTTGCTGGAAGGGTCAAGGACGTTACAAAGTAGACCAAGCAAGTACACTCACACAACAGTCAATAGAAATATAATTTCGGAGAGAGAGCTATCATAAACTCTAGAAATTTTTATCGCTATCATTTGATAATGTTCGAAGAGCCTCCACCACGAATATTTTAGCGAATTTTTAGTTTTGAATTCTCAATTTCAAGGATATGAGGTAAGCAAATTGAACTGAATTTGTCAACAAAAAATCAAAATAATGACAATGGAAATTGGAATTGGAACTGGGCAGATTCTTCATCACGATCATGCAACAGCTCCCAGAGGACTGTCATTTCAATATTTTACTTAAATAATCAACAGAAAAAAAAGTGAATAAATAAGTCAGTCAAATTAAATTTAATTTAGTAAGATTATAGGACTTTTCAAATTGACATTAATAACCATCGGGCATTAATTGAAGAAATCATGGACATTATTATTTATTATTAGGCCTAAATATAGGCTTTTTAAATAGGCCTACAGTATTTTGCATTATGCAATATCAATATTGTTATGGTTGTACAATTGAATTATAATAGACTGGCCTGAGCTGACTTGAACCAGCTAGGGATGTCAAATCAGAGATTTTAAGTTTTCGTAGCAATGATAATGGAATCAAATAATTTGGTACATGGGAAATTTATAATTATTTGATATAGGCATAACTGATATATACTCAAACAAATAATTGCAGGATTGCAATTGAACTGCAAAAACAGGGGCACAAAATAAAGAAACCCTTTAATGCATACTTTTGCAGTCACTAAGAAAATAAAATGCATGAAAAATTCAATTTGTTACCGGTACCGTAATCAGTTATCAAAAATCCAAGCATTAAATATCATCTTCCATCCTCCTACAGTGATCTATACAGGTGAGGTGCAGATGTTGAATTTAAAATGAGGGGGGTTGGATGGCCAAACGGTTAGCACGTGCGCGCTGTAACATAAGGATAAGGTCTGTCATTGAGTCAACTGGTGGGGTTTCGCCTGTCCAACCTCGTGGGGTTTTTCCGGGGCCACCGGTTCCCCCACCCCCCCAACACTGCTAAAGATCCCTATGTGCAAGCGAATTTTATAATTTAAATAAAATTGAACCATATGTTAGTCCAGAAATAACCTAGTTTGTGTCGGGTGCACTTAAACCCCATCTCTCTTTACTGTCTGTCTGTCTCTCTCTCTCTCTCTCTCTCTCTCTCACATTCAAAATGTAAAACATGAAACCATCTTGTTTTTTTCAGGAGATACAAAGTTGATACCAGCTTTATGGCCCACCTGAAGGAATACAGTATACGGAGTTCTATTTTAACAAATATATTGTTATATGTCAGTAGATCAATGACTAAAAGTTGTTTATCAATTATATTTTCATATAGTACTGCTGAATTTTATAGTTCCGATTCATTAATTAAACTTAAAAGCAATAGTAGTAATTTAAGCAATAAACAATGGCCGATGTCCATTCTTTACAAGAACGAAGCAGACATCCAACTAGTGAATCTGACAGTACCGATTCGTCGTCAAGTGAATCAAGTACTATATCCCTACCCCCTCCACCTGACGGGGGCTATGGCTGGTTAATCGTTGTTGCATCATTTTTGATAAGCTTAATCTGTGATGGGTGTGCATTTTCGTTTGGTGTTCTGTACACCGAACTTTTGGATGAGTTTGGAGAAAGTAAGAGCAAAACGTCATGGATAGGATCGTTGTTTATGAGTGTGCCAATGATTCTTGGACCATTAGGAAGTGCCCTGAGCTCAAAATTTGGATGCCGCGCAGTTACTATTGGAGGAGGAATTATTTCAACCTCTGGTTTTGTTTTGAGTTCATTTTCGAATTCTGTAGATATACTGTGTGTAACATTTGGTTTGATTGCTGGTTCTGGAATGTCCGTCTGTTATGTCAGCAGTATGATAATGGTGGCGTATTATTTCAAAAAGAAAAGAGCATTAACAACAGGGTTATCTGTTTGTGGTTCCGGTATTGGAACTTTTATCTTTGCTCCTTTAACTGAATATTTAATTCAAGAATATGGATGGAGGGGAACTTTATTAATTATTGGTGGAATAGTTTTGAATTTAGTGGTTGCTGGTGCATTATTTAGGCCACTTGAATTCACGGAAGAAGAGAAGCTACGCAGAGCGAGGGAGGCGTTCGATAAAATGTCACGCACCATATCAAAACAGAGTATACCATCTCATGGACGCAGCAGAATAGGAAGCGGAAGTGAGGATTCAGTGACATCACACAAGGCTGAGAAAAAAGATGAAGAATTAGAACTCGAAATTTTGAGTAACTCCCAGGTTTATCTTCCAACTTTTATCAATAAACAAAATACCGAAATACCGGATGAACTTATTTTGGAAATCAGAAAAAATGGATCAAATTTGGAACAGACTTTGCAACGCTATTTTCGCAGTCTGAATTTAAAAGAAAATGGAATAGCCGACCATGCCAAGGTAACCGAAATTTTAACTGTGACCAGTGATGACAATATTGTCTTTAAACCTGCCACTGTTTCTGATAGTCTGGTAGCCAATGGTAACGGCACATGTAACAGTGAAACAAAAAGAGGAAGTAGTAAAGGAGGCGTCTGGCAGCATAAGAAAAAGTCATCAAAAGTTAAAATGCACAGAGTCCCTTCGTATCTACCTTTATTAAAAAATGACATTTATTATCGGGGTAATCTGATGAATCTACCAGGTACCCAATACAGATCCAACAGTTGCCCTGAACTCCATAAAACAGTAGAAGAGGATGACGATGAGGATGACATCTTTTCCCATTATCCCATACTGAAAGTCTTCAAGATCAGTAAACCACTCAAGAAATTCTTCTCAAATATGTTTGATCTGAGAATTCTGAGCAATCCATTTTTTCTGCTCTTTGCCTTTTCAAACTTCACATTATATTTATGGTATGACGTCCCTTATGTCTTTCTTACTGATAATGCCATTGAACTTGGTATACCAGAAGACAAGGCTTCGTTTCTGCTGTCAATAATCGGTATAGTGAATACGATTGGTCAGATATTATATGGTGTTTTCGGTGATCGCTGCGTTAACTTGACATTGTTGTATGGCTGGTCGTGTGTGATTGCAGGGTTAACGATGGTGTTTGTGCCTTTTACTAGTACCTACTGGGTGCTTGGAGTTCTTGGTGGGCTGTTTGGTTTCTTTATCAGTGCAAATTATACCTTGCAGACTATAATGTTAGTCCAGTATTTAAGTCTGGAGAAGCTTGCTAATGCTTATGGTTTGATATTACTAACCCAAGGAATAGCTAATCTGGTTGGTCCACCCATTGCAGGTAATCTTGATAATCTTTCACATTTAGATGAATATTAATTGAATTTAAATATTAAATGAAATGAAATGGAGTTTAACATCCTACTGTTCTGCTCCAAACTGGGCTAATGAAGACGGGCATATGCCATACAGTGTCCTATGCAGGAAATTTTGCCTGGACAGCGGCACTACGGCCTACTCTTATATCGAATTCCAACTGTCAAGGGATCTTTTATGTGCACGCCAATGTGGACACATTACCTCAGTTTTTCATCCCATCCGAATGACTAGACAGCTGTCCTTGTCAGGCCCTCCGTCCTGTATCACTGACAAGGGGGAACCACGCCAGAAAATCTGGGTGAACTTTCTCGGCCAATGCAGGGATCGAACACCCGACCTCCAGGCTAGCAAGCTAGCGTCTTAGCCACCCTGAATGATACTGTCACTGTAATATTATTGACCAATCTGTGCCTCCATGTCAATTTGATTAAAGCACAGATCCAATTTCGTTTCGTTTTTATAGTTCAAAATTTCGATTTTACTTGTCTTTACTACACTTGGATCTGGAAGCGTTGTTATTTAACCCGTGTTCTGCTTGAAATGAGGGGTCAGCCAATCAAATGGTCTGTCGAATCGAGCGTTTGATCTTTTTTGCGTGGATCTGTGGGTAGACATTAGCGGCAATAGAAATCAAAACAAAGCAAAAGTAGATAAAAAATACATGGCGGTCGCTAATTGGTTAATCGAATGACTGACGTAATCGGGTCAAATGTCGCTTGCTTGGTGCCTGACGTCATAGAACGTGAACTCCCACTATAACTTGTTAGATCTACATGTAGTGTAGGCCATCGGAAGTATAAAAAACGAAACGAAATATAGATCTACATGTATATTTTAATTAGATTGCCTCCATGTTGAATATCAAGTAAAAGAATGACAGTTTTTCTGTATGAGAATACATTGTAGTGTATGGTTAATGGTACCTGTATTAATTAACCAGCTACATTATAATCTGAATTATAACTAAACATTGAAGGTAGCATGGATAGGCTTTAGGACTGTGGCGGTGTGCCCCCCTGCCTCACCCACACACCCCAATCTGATGGATCAAAAGAGATGAATGACATTTTTTGAATGATAATGGTCCTGTATTAACCAAGTACATGTGCATGTACAATATGCTTTTTTGTCACAATATGGTGATCAGATTATAACTGAAAATTGTGGGTAGCGGCCACTCATTCCGCCCCAATCCTTTGAACATTATTATGTGAGTAGCTTGGCTAAGCTTTATAACAATGGTGTAACCCCTCCCCCCGCCGCCACTCATTCCGCCCCAATCCTTTGAACATTATTATGTGGGTAGCGTGGCTAAGCTTTATAACAATGGTGTAACCCCTCCCCCCCGCAGCCATCACTCATTCCGCCCCAATCCTTTGAACATTATTATGTGGGTAGCGTGGCTAAGCTTTATAACAAAGGTGTATCACCCCTACTCATTCGGCCCCAGTCCTATGGATCAAAAAAGTAATGTACATGTACTTTATGCACCATACTTTTCCTTTGAAACTAGCTACATGTACATGTCTATTCAAACTCAATGAGCCAAATTTTCACATTTCTGATCTAATTATGCTATTATTTCTGTTGATTGCATGTGTCTTATATTTCGAACATACACCAAATCCCATAAGCGGTGGACATTCTAGCTGAATGATTAGGCCAAATTTGCCTAGTGTGTCCACTGTCATTCGGCCGAATGTTTTGCCCGAATCGAACATGTTCGATGTATTCGCCTAGTGTGTCCGCTTAGCCGAAACATTCGCCCGATTCATTAGCCAATCACCATTCATATCGACGAGAAGTCACGTGATTGTTTGAACACACAGTCGCTGCCATGTTTAATCATGTGACGTGAAAGGTGATGCAATCGACTGGTGAATCGGGTACAGGATTAGCAAAGTATCGGACAAAGGATTTGCCAAGTATCGGGCAAAGGATTTGCCAAGACTAATGTGTGCACTCATTTGGTTGCAATTCGGTTGAACGATTCGACGGAATGATTTGGCTAGTATGTCCACCGCTTTATTTTGCCTGGAATTTTTGAAAATGTTCTTGGAAGAGGGGGGAGGGGGAAGGATCTTGCTCCCTCTCCCTTCACTGTAAAATCATGGCACCAACACTGTTAAAGTTTATTTTCAATGTATAGTCAACATCCAGGTTATCCTGGATAACCATGTATAATCAAAATTTTTCCAGCGACTGAAAATTATCCTCATTCAGTAATTGTCACTGCTAATGTACTTTTACATTGTTTCAATGGCATTTAGTAATTGAACTGGAATACACAGGTCATGTGGATGAGAAGCCATTAATTAATTTTCTTGGGTATATGAATATACGAATAGCAGTAATGTTCTTTTATAATAATAAGGTACATATTATGTATATCTGGTTCCACTTCCCATTCATCTGTAGGTGGAAAGTAGGGGAGGGTTGGTAGTCAAGAAGTGGCCTCGCAACTACATACATGTATAGTAGATATCGGAGGGGGCGAAATATAAGGTTTGTCATTGAGTAAAGTGGAATGGTTTTGATTCCCCGCTTGTACATGTACATGTACGTGACAAAGAGTAGGGTCGCCTGTCCAACCTCTTGGATTTTTTCTGGGTACTTCAATTTTCTCCCAGTGCTAAAGAGTAAGACCCCTACGCGAATATATATCAGGTGTGATGCCCGAAGAATTGACATGGAAAATGTACCTATGTTGTTGTTCAGATTCCCCCATCCCCACCCCATATACAAATCAGTATTACACATTAAAACCATGGGAATTAAATATACCACCTGTTAGTTTCAAATGACAGAAGGTTGTGAGGACAGACTTTAAACACAGTTCAATTTCCATTAAGATTATGGTCGCCAGGCCAATTAACTTTGTTGGTTTTCTCTGGGTCCTTCAGGTTCCTCCCACTGCTAAAGACCCCTACACGCAATAAATTATTGAAAAAAAATTGTTAAACCTAATATAATAATATAATTTCTGTCAAGTGTATGCTCGCTCTCTCTCTCTCTCTCTCTCCATTTCCATTTATTTATAACATAACTAACAATATTTATTTTAGTCTTGTGTAAAGTGTGAGTAAATTATTGATGTTTATTACAGGTGGGCTATATGACTTGACAGGTAGTTATCATACAACATTCTATGCTGCTGGTGTGTTTATTATATTAGCGGGTATGATTTTATTTATTACACCATTATTAACATTTCTACAGTGTATAGATAGAACAACACCAGGTAAATTACAGGATGAACATCTGATATTAACAGATTGTAAGGGCGTTGACCCGTCGCCTTTGGTGGTAGTAGAAATAGAAACGGTTATATAATAATCTTATTAAAGATGCATTATGTAATATAAAAAAATAAATATTTTGATGACTTCATTCAAAATACTTTATTCTGGGCAAAGTTATGACTGCTTGAAGGTGTAGTATAGATTGTTTATTATTGTAGCAACAGTACTTGACTATCAAGACTATGTCTCGATTATCCATTTTAACGTTAAATTTTTAAATTTCGCAGGAGTTCATAGTTCTTACATAATGCATCTTTAAAATATTCCATTGTTTATATTCGTTTTTCTCAATAATAACTCAAAGTTCAAAAGATCAATTTATAACATTTTTGTCACTTATGCATGACATATATATATATTTCCTCTCATTGATTTTTGTTCACATTTACATACAGTTATACTTACATGTATAGGTAAAGGTGTTATAAATACAACTGTAGACCTATTGGCTTACAGTTGGAAACTCAGTTTCATGCAAGACCTACATGCAGTCAGGCCTAAATATTAGTGAGAATCTCACAGTCTAATTTTCTGAAGAATCTCGATATGTTTATCACTAAAGATTCTGGCAAACTAATCACCAACCTTTTAACAAACTGGTTTTACAGTTTGACTGACAATGATCAGTATATACATGTAGCCTATATACTATTGTAAATATTCAGTTGATGTAGCTTACCATTGGGACATGTTTTAACATGTTAACATCAATTAATATCTGATATTATTTCTACTACAACATTGAATTCAGGCAATTTTCACAAACTGCTTTCAGAAAATGACAAGTCATATCTGAAAAAAATATTGCAAAATTTTAGGCCTAATTATATTATGTACTGTGGCCTGCACCTCTTTGATCCATATTATTAAATAGCATTAAAATTATGAGTACATTGTACTATCTAAAAACAAATATGGCAAACTTTAAGGCCTAGTTACATAATATACACGTAATCAAATATTATTTAGCATGTCAGGCTATAATGAAATCTCTTTGACTCCTAATTCATATTTCGTATAATTACGCATTATTTCATGTTGATCACCAAGAAAAACATTATTACATAATTTATGGTAATTAATGCTAATAATAACTATTCATTGTTTTTCACAAGGTCGTCGTTCATCTATGCAGATCAATGATTTGTACATGTATTGTATTTGTTCAGTGTTAATAGATTGTTATATTATTGTTTTTGTTTTGTTACTATATTTAGATGGTGTTTTTGTTACCTGATTTACTATTTTGGCAACCAATATGAAAACATATTTATGCATGATAGGATTTTAATGTACTGACTAATATTATCTAACTCAAATCTACCTTGACTAATAGCCTTTAGGAACAACCTACTCAACAAAAAATAGACAGTAAATATATTATTATAAACTGCACTAAACATATATTATGCAAGAGCTAAATTTGCCTATTGCTGTTCTTTCTTTAGGTCTGAAATGTTATCTAACTTATTAATTAAACATTATTTAAGTTATCCAGACCATAATCAACTCTTGATGTCATCGCTAGCCTGCAATATGTACTGGATTTGAATCCGATTTGCTGCTCAACACTCACTGATGATTTTATCCAAAAATGGATAACTGATTTTAGTAATGATGATCAAGGCTAGGCCAAAAATTCAAAAGCTAATATCTTAGTTCAGAGTGGATCAATTTGACTGAAATTTTCAACATATTGTCTTTACAATACATTATCTAGTTTTTAACTATTACATGTGTAGTGAGAACTGCCAGCTCTTTATTTGATGTCCCATAATGCCCCTTTAAGTGAACCAATTACAATCCAAATGTTTCTTTCATGCACAAGTTAATAATTTATTGTTAATAAGTAAATACAAGATTAATACCGGTATAGCAGGGTTCCCGCGGTCCTTGAAAATCCTTAAATTTAAAATTTCATTTTCAAGGTCTTGAATATCCTTGAATTTCGCAGAAATAGGAAAATATCCTTGAATTTCGCGGAAATAGGAAAATATCCTTGAATTTCAGTTGAGATCCTTAATTTTGTTTCAAATGTCTTCAATTCCTTTTAAATATGAGATTATAATGATAGTTGGTAATGTTTTGGTTATTTTTAAGATGAAAAATTGTAACTTGAGGCTAAAAAATGTCCTTGAAAATCCTTGAATTTGGCGTATATTTATCCTTGAATATCATTGAAAAAATGTTTGACGAAGCCGCGGGAACCCTGTATAGGTTTGTATCGAGGATCAAAGATCTTAACAGGTGTAAGTAAAGATAGGAGTCAATATGACAAATACAGATATACGGAGGATCTGAGATTTTAAAGATACATTCCCATAAAAGTAAAAGTTTTTATCTGGTGTTTATTTCCAATAAAAGTATGCCAATTTTGGTATATGGAAAGTAGAGACACCCACTCTTTCTAGAAAAATTCTTGATTCCTTGAAAAACACCATGGAGCACGCACAGGACAAAAATGTTAGGGTGTCACTAAGTGGCAGCCTGACGATTAGGACTGTCTGCTTGAGTGACGTCAAAGGTTGCATGCATAGATCGTCTGACCTCTTTTCATTAGAGAGCGCTTAATGTGTATGTTGATAAACATTGTGGGTGGACGTGGAAAAAGTCAGAGACTTAACGTACAACAGATTCTGAGGGCAGGGGATAATCCCAGAATTTACTTAGTCTTCGATATTTATGGTACAGGGACAGCGATTGAAGACAATATATGCAATGAATTCTCCTTCAGCTTGGCAGTGTCACAAACATGGCTTCTTTAAATAGCTTGGGGTATTTCCTCAAGAATACAATGTTTTGAGCGGGATTTGGAGCAAATTTTTTGATAAATTAATTACCGGTAGTTTGAATAAACCATCAAATCACCTAGTTTGTACATGGGAAGGCATCTTTAACTATTTGTACAACAGGAGAAATACACTAGTACCATACATGTAGAATTCATGGCATATTATTCTACCAGTATTAAATCAACTACTGGCAGGTAGTAACATTGGAACTTTTCCTTTGTTCTGTGATGGGCCTATATATTTATTTTGTAATAAGATGTTAATGGTAACACCATATGTTCATATATTGCCAAATACTGTAGACTTGTAATCTCATCAGTTAGATATAATTATCTTGGCAGTAGCAATGAAATGGAGTTTAACATCTTACTTTTCTGCTCCGACTGGGCTAATGTAGATGGGTATATCCTATACAGTGTGCTATGAGGGAAAGTATTCCTGGACAGCAGTACTACGGCACACTCTTACATGTGTTTCAAATTCCAACTGTTAAGGGTTCTTTTACATGCATGACAATGTGTAGATTGGACCTTGGTCTTTTGTCCCATGTGAACGATGAACTTGGTAGTAAAACTATAGGTACATTTAGCTTTTACAACATGCGGATTGAAATAACTTGCATATAAAAATTATCACCTATTTTTAATTCTTAAATATAAATGAAATGAAATGGAGTTTAACGTCCTACTGTTCTGCTCCGAACTGGGCTAATGAAGACGGGCATACGCCATACAGTGTGCTACGGCCTACTCTTATATCAAATTCCAACTGTCAAGGGATCTTTTACATGCATACCAATGTCTACGTGGGACATCGGTTTTTTGTTCCATCCGAACAACTAGACAGCTGTCCTTGTCAGGCCCTCCTTCCTGCATCACTGACAAGAGGGAACCACGCCGGGATAATCTGGATGAACTTTCTCAGCCAATGCAGGGATCAAAAACCGAACCTCCAGGCTAGTGAGTCAGCGTCTTACCCACTTAGCCACCATACCCACCATACACCCCCCCCCCCCCCCATATATATAAGAAATAGTATCAGATATTCTAGAAAGATTTACTTTGCTCTGCCTTTTTGCCGTACAGTCTTTTTACTTTGTTTTTTTTTACTTAAAAATAGGCTATACATGTACATTTGTATACCTGCATAATGTATATCATCATGGAATTATTTCTCAGACATCAATTCTAAACATAGAAAGATATGTAAACTATTTGATTTAATTAAATTGACACTTTAATTTTTATAGGCCAACAATTTAACCTGATTGTATATTTTTGTCTCTCCACTTGTCCAACCCTCACTTCACAATTTATTATTATTACAGCTGCTGTGTGTTGTTTTCCTTTTTGGGAAAAATGTCAAGTTTTCAATTGCATAATCCATGCTATAATTGATTATTTAAAATTTAATTAAGAAACCAAAGTTTAAAATTTAATTTAAGATACCAAAATTTAAAATTTAATTAAAGATTTAATTAAGAAACCAAAATTTAATTAAGAAACCCAAATGAAGTATCAATGGAAGATAATCTCCTGGTTTGGATTCAATCCGGTAAAATAGAGGCCCATCAAAAGTCTGCAGCATATGGGGGGGCGGGGTTGATGGCTGAATGGTTACGCTGTATCATAAAGTCTGTCATTGAGTCGACTGGCGTAGTTTTGAATCCCCGGTTGTACGTGACAAGGAGTAGGGTCGCCTGTCCAACCTCGTGAGTTTTCTCCAGGTCCTCCGGTTTCCTCCCACTGCTAAAGACCTACGCGCAAGCGAATTATTGAAATAAAATTAAACCATATGTTAGTCCCGAAATGACCTAGTTTGTGTCGAGTGGACATTAAACCCCATCTCTCTCTCTCTGTAGCAAAAGTTCAATTCATCATCTATATGTATGCTAATATTTGTGACTGTCATTTATCTGTCTGTTCAGGGTTGACAGCTACACTATAGGGCTGTCCCAAGGCTGAAATTTAGTGTACTAGGGTAGTTTGGACCAAAGAGTAACATATAGGCCCGGTGTTCACCTAAAGCTTCCGGTTTCTGAGTTATACTACTGTCAACCCTCGCAGCGTCCGGTCATCCGCTAGTATCATTATAAATACTGAACCAAATTTAATAACTTTTGAACTCATATTTTAGAGATACAACTTTGACAGTATTGTAGTTTTCAAGAGATTCATCAATCCCTCAAATTATGCTCAGAGACTTTAACATTCAAGAGACCACAATAATCATGACAAGTTAAACATACATTGTGCAAGAGTTAAATCTGCCCATTGCAGGTCTTTCTTTAGGCCAGAAATGTTATATAAACTATTAATTAGACATGACAACACCATAATCTTCTTACAATGTCATCAGATTCTCAAGATTTGAACTAGATTAGAACGGTTCGCCATTTAAAAATTTAATTTAAAAATGAGAAAGCGAGACTAAGTCTGGAATATACCAGTGCCCTGGTTACCACAATGCACACATCCTGTCAAAACTACAAACAGTGATAACTTGGCTCAGAATGAAGTAATTTGAATGAAATATAATCCTTGAGTGGCGTTTAGTGATTGTACATTAAAAAACACAACACATCATTTGTACCTGATAATGATAAGAGAATACTTGTCAAAACGTCGTGCTATATGTGTATAAACCAGTGATTGTATTCCAAATAAATTGTGTTGTGTTTTTTAATTTGAATGAAATTTTCAATATTTTTTATTTCACATTATCTATTTTTGAGCTATTGTATCAAGAATGGTCAGCTCTCTATCTAAATCTTACATAATGTATCTTTAATAGTTTGTTTAGCTTACTAAAAGAAAGACATCTTATGATTATGAACAGACATGTATCTGTCACCACGGTCAATAAACACATAGATTAAAATATCAAAAGAATACAAAGAAGATTATAGACGTAGAAAATAAACTTATAATATTAAATATATGCATAAATTAAGATATTACCATTAAAGGCTCAATACCACTCTTGTTGTAACAGAATAATATGTCCCAATCTTTATTCTGGTCAACAAATTGTACTATTTTACAGTATTCCAATTAATTGATGATACAAATTTCATCTTAACACACCTAATTTAAAAAATTGGAAAAATTCAACTAAATGATTTGAAAAGCCTAACGTAAACCTTTTCAAATGTGACTTGGATTTAAAAATATTTTTGAACCCTCTGGACAAGTAAAATAGGATGTAATGGATAATTTACACAACAGGTAGGACACTTAAACATCTAATACTTAGAATAAGGCTAATATTTATTTACTGGAGCTGTCAAGCCAGCAAGAGTGTTATTGTCCCTTTAACATACATTCTTATTAGAATACTCGTTAAGAGGACTATGCTCTAAGATGTTATATCAGTTTAAAGGTAACCCATAATTAATTCAACCATTGAAAGGTAATTATAGGATCTTGATAGACCGTGGTGACATATCTACCAAATCAAAGAAGTTGTGTACTTTTGTATTTTTCACTGTCAAACTGCACTTGATTCGACCAAGCACCATAAATTTTGAACTGTGTTCAACCCCCTGATTTTATGAATGTTTCATCTCCTTAATTAGGTTCTAAATTTTATATGTCTCACTGTCAGGCTGCACTTAATCCCCTTAAAGCTTTTATGCATTATGCATTTTTAATTAAATGTAGCCCTTTATAAAAATTTTGTTATTTTAATGTATGGGGTTGGATGGCCGAATGGTTAGCGCGTGCACGTTCAATCATAAGCTCTTTCAGCTGGCGTGGTTTCGATTCCCTGGCTATACGTGACAAGGAGTGGGGCCGTTTGTCCAACCTCCAACCTCGTGGTTTTTCTCTGGGTCCTGTGGTTTCCTCCCACTGCTAAAGAACCCTACGCGCAAGCGAATTATTGAAATAAAATTGAACCATATGTTAGTCCTGAAATGACCTAGTTTGTGTCGAGTGGATGTTAAACCCCATTTCTCTCCCTCTCTCTGTTTTAATGGATCAAATACATCAATAAGAAACCATGAGCAAAGTTTTGTTTTTCTAGATCAAAACAGTGATCGAAAGTTGAGTAAATTCTTAAGTCAGAGAATGCTTTGTGAACTCCTGGCTTGTTCCATTAAGAAGTCACGGCAAGGCCTGGAAATAATAATTTTATATGTACATGTATATGCCAGACATGAATTATAAATAACAACACAGACAAAAGATAAACCTATTAACAGCCACTAGAGGGGGGGGGGTAGGTCTAAATATTAAAGCCAACTGCAGATTTCGGCACGTTTGCAAGATGTAAATAGGGTTAAGTTACACGACTGTTGACAAGATTGTAGGTTAGGGTTAGGGTGACCGTTGACCAGATCTGACCCACTAGAGGGGTTGTGCCTGGCGAAGCATGAATTTATGTCTAATATTAAGGGTATTAACCCTGAATTTTACATGACAAAGGTAACTTTAGTAACTATTTTGATGAAATTGAATAAAATTGTGTTCAACATCCTACTTCGGTTCACCCACTGGGCTAGTAAAAACCAGTTTTATGTTTACGTGAAGTATATTCCAACAGCTGTTTGATCTATATATAGGATAATTATTAGCCTCCTTTCATTATAAAAACATGAAATAAATGATAAGCTTGATGTATTTTTTAAATTAAAAAAAGCTAATATTTTGTTTAATATAAGAGATAAGAGTGGCTTGAAGACCTGGTTATCCCTGACTACCTACTTAATGGAATCCAGACAAATCTAAACTTGGGCAGTAGAACCAGTTTTATTTTTGTTTTATAATATTATGTTTATCCGACCGGATTGTTCATGCCCCAATAAACATGTGATAGATATGTTGCTAAAAAATATTGCAGCTGACTTCACCATTAAAGTTGTAAATGACCATGAACTATTAGATTTTGAACTAAATATTTAGTTAGAATTCCTAGAATAGTTTTAATTTGAACTACTAACTAGGAAATAAAGTCTAAAGTCTTAACGTTATTTTCTGTTCCTTTTGTTTATTTTGTCATGATCTACATCTAGGTTATATGTAAATTGTAAATAACAACATTTCTAATTGTCAGTCGTCGTTGTTTGTATTTTAGAGGAGAGCCGAAAAACGCTCCCCTTAATCAACAAATTGAAAAAAATCGCTCCCCTAAAAAAGTTCTCCCATTTTCGATGACGATTGATTTAGAAATCAAGAAGAGCAATCTGATATTAAATACAGTAATTAGTTGTGTGTATGGGAAATGATTCTGAAGATCAATAACTACTAGGGGGTCATTCCTGGTTTCATAAATGAAAATAAACCCCTGATGTCTTTGTAAAGGAGAGAGTGATTTTCAATTTTAAGGGGAGGGAGAAAAACCTCCCCTCGGTCAACATTCAGTTGCATGGCAGGCACTCGAGAGCTATCGGTCGCCTTAAAAAACAAATTTGTTAAATTTGAATATGATAGGGGTTTCAACGAAATTTGACATTATTGTTTTGGACGGGTTAAATTATATATACATGAAAATGTTCTAATTACCAGTCGTTACATGTATAATCTCAATCAAATGAAATGCTGCAAGGACTATGTTATACTCTTTAATTTACAAATACAGTGTGGCAGATTTTAGGCAAATAATGGAATATTTTCAGCAAAAAATGTTTGCTGTAATATTGAATACTGCCAAGTGTCGATGTATATGTAAGATAAGATTTTACTGTATATCAACAGCCATTACAGCCTGCATACAATTCATTTATTAAGATTTATTGATTATTATACATAATGTCTAAAGACTTTTAAATAAATAGTAATAGAATACACACAGCATAAACATAATAAACAAGTTCATACAATGTGTCTGGAGGTGGGTGTGGGGGGTGGGAGTGGCCAAACGGTTAACGCATGTGCTTTGAACATAAGGTCTATCATTGAGTCAAGTGGCATGGTTTCGATTCTGCTCTTGTATGTGACAAGGAGTATGGTCGCCTGTCCAACCTTGTAGGTTTTCTCTGGGTCCTCCGGTTTTCTCCCATTGCTAAAGACCCCTACGCGCTAGCGGATTATTAAAATAAAATTGAATTATGTTAGTCCCGAAATGACCTAGTTTGTGTCAGTGGACGTTAAACCCCATCTCTCTCTTTTATTGTATATCAAGGACCAGTTCAGTATGTATACAATTAGAAATATTTGGAAAATATTTAATTATTATGGGTAATACATATTATGTAATATTCATAATGTTATTAAACATAATACACAAGTTCATACAAGTATAAAAATAGCTTTTGATTTACATGAAAAATAGTTTGTGATTAAAATTCTACTTTTTTTTGGCAGTAGTCCCAAAACACTAAGATAGATAAAATTAACTTGTAAACTTACATAAAGTGATCAAGTGAGACCAAGTGGAAATAGGTTGAGGATACAAAGTTCATTGCACTTTGATTCTGTATACAGAGAGAGAGAGAAATGGGGTTTAACTTCCACTCGATACAAACTAGGTCATTTTGGGACTAACATATGGTTTAATTTTATTTCAATAATTCGCTTGCGCATAGAGGTCTTTAGCAGTATACAAGTACTGCTGTATAAAAGTTAAACAAGACAATTTGTTTATTTGTGGGTTTGCTAATTGGGACTTGCGGTGGCTCAGTGTGTGGTGGTCGAAAAAGTTCATCAGAATTTTCCATCATGGTTTCTGCTTGTCAATAGTGCAGGATGGAGGGCCTGGCAAGGACAGCATCTAGTTGTGCAGATGGGACAAAAAAAAACAAAAAAAAGGTCCTGTAGGCTGAAGAGCTGCTGTCTGGGCAAAATTTCCCTCATAGCACACTGTATGGCATATGTTCGTCTTCATTAGCCCAGTTGGAGCAGAACAGTATGACATTAAACCCCATTTCATTTCATTTATAGAGGCAATGATGGTGTACACCCATCTTCATTGTCCAGTCATTGCAAAAAAGTAGGATGTTAAATTTCATTTTATTTTAGTTGTTTTTGCAAGTAATTTAATGATGCTATTTAGTTTGTGTTAGATGAAGTTTTAAAGGATGAAATTTACAATTTAACGATTATTTTGAATGTTATGAGGAAACATTTTAAAACATACCATACATTTCATGGTAACATGTCTCATTACCTTCAGGAAAACTCATTATATTCCTGGCAAATTCTTAACTCAAAATCAAATCTACTGGATATAAGGCACCCGTGCATGCAACACTGGGTAACAAAGCTAGTTTGTTATAGGACTTATATTGAATAACTATAAACATCTCTCTTAGATAAAAACTTTTATGGCTAGCTTGAATTATTGGATTCTCTGGAAATGTTTTTTTTTAAAATTTGATTAATTCAATAATATTCTGGGAGTTGGGTTGTCGAATGGACTAATTCTAGAACATGTGAGCTTTATATCATAAGGTCTGTCATTGAGTTAAGTAAGTGGTTGCGTTGTTGTTGATAAGGAGTAGGATTTCCTGTCCATACCCATGAGTTTTCTTTGGTTTCCTTAACACGCAAAGGTATTATTGAAATAAAATTGAACCATGTGTTAGTCCCAAAATGACCTTGTTTGTGTTGCGAGGATATTAAACTAAACACCTCTCTCTCTCTCTCTCTCTCTCTCTCTCTCTCTCTCTCTCTCATATGTTATTGGGTACATGTAATTGGCTTCAACTCTAATGTCACCTCAACCCAGCCTATTAACTCATTGTATTTTTATCTTCTCCTAATTTTAGTATTCTACTGGATGCCAATATGTTAAAAGGAAACAAACAGAGTTAGACATTCGGATTGTTGAATAACATCCAACAGCTTTACTACATGTAACATGACATTGAATTACTTACTTTTGTTGTGTATATTATATAGGCTAAGCAACTTATTCTAAAGCCCTGTTTACACTTGGCCGCAATAAGCGTCCCGCCCACGGCATTGTACCATGCTGCGATAAATTTCAAGAAATTGACCCCTTTACATTACTCTACAATAACTGGACTCGGAACCGTGCCAGGCATGCCAAATGTGGAACTCTTCACAGAAAAGTTAATTTCAGTCCCATTGCAAATTACCCGGATGAAAACAATTATGGCGGTTAATTTAGTTTGAGCAGCATTTTGACAGAACGGATGACAGAACTGTCAAAGTTCACGGGGAAAAAAGGTCAAGGCCTATTTGGTGCATATGCAGTAAACCGTGCTGAGAACCATTCTCAATCTGGATTGTGTTTACACTACGAAAATTTAACCGTGCTGTGCCTGGCACCGTCTCAAGACCACCTCACTTCAGTGGGTCAAATTGGCACGGTACTCAGTACGGCACGCTTATGTTTGACCCGTTTACACTACAAAAAAAATTAACCGTGCCGCGCCTCGCAGGCTTAAAATTTGTAATATAAACAGGGTTTATGAGGATAATATGACATTCTTGACCCATATCTTAAAGCCTCTGATGGTCAATAGAGAGATTATTAATTCCTTGTAAACTACAATATTGTGAAAGTTGAATCTCTAATAGGAATATCAGTACAATAATGGTTTCATTTCATATAGTAATTAAGCAGTGGACACATTAGCCAAATTATTTGCCTATGTCTACTGTCATTCGGCCAAATGATTCACCCAAATCAAACATGATTAATATATTCGGTCGAATTCTATTCACCTGATTGTAGCCAATCACCACTCATCATCCACTCACATGATTGTTTGAAGACATGGTCGCTGCCATGTTTAATCATGGGACGTGATGCAATCGACTGGTAAATCGGGCGAAGGTATGGCCTTGTGTGTCCACCCATTCGGCCGAATGATTTGACTAATATGTCCACCGCTTAACAAAGATATGATGAGTTGAAAATGTTGCAACATTGGGCATCCTCTTAAGAGGATATTAACAAGCCAGCTCCATCCATATGTGGTGGATAAAATTTTTTGATGGGGTCTTTTTTTATATCAGATTGAATGCAAATATTTGATTAATTAACTACCATGGATATTTTAAATTTTTGTTTTTTAATGAAGTGTTATATAACTAAATTGAGTACATTAAAAACATGTATAAAGCCGTGAGAACTGAGATATTATCCGAAAAATGCCAACAGCGATCAGTAGTTTTAATGTAGGAAATTTAAGAGCAACCCACCCACTCCATTGAAGACTATATCATTGTGCTTGATAACGATAAGAAGATACTTGTCAAAACGTTGTGCTTTCAGAGTAAAACCAGTGATTGTTTCCCATAAAAATTGTGTTCCATTAAAGAATATATCAATTATTAGTTATTGGCTGGGTCAAGTCTAATCCGATTTTCATACTTTTGTGTTTTGTTTATCCTGAAAATTGTTATTGTCTGATAGACTGCAGGTGGTTTATAGGCTTTAGAGATAACATAACAATAAAGTATTGATTGATATTGATATATGTTGGTTTGTTGAGCTAGGGGAAGAGACATATATACCTGTGTAGCATATGCTTAAGCCAAGAATAAATATACCTTTGTTTGTGGTTACTTGGCGCCTTACTCTCCACCCCCCCCACCTCAAAATGAAAAATGTGTTGATCGGATTAAGAGATAATATAACATAAGATATTGATTGATATTGTTGTTGAGCTTGGAAGAGACCTATATTATATAATATAGCTGTAGCAGCATTTGCTTATCACTACACACAATATTCTGTTTTTGTATGGCCTTAAAGGGTCCTGTGGGTATTAATACTTTAATGATGGCCTATATTTGTGCAAGTAAAACCAGTATTGAGTTCAGCCACAGACCAGTCTGTAACCTAATTCTCAGAGTTGAAAGTTCATTGCTCTGTTTATGTATAGGTAGTATCAGTACTTGTAGGATGTAGAAATAGATTAGGTCAGCAGAGTACAGGACACTGTCATATTTTATTGTATTAGATGAGACTAAGATGTATTTATAGCTTGAATATCCCTGATATCAGGATATAATTGATACCACAGCTGTATTTGAACAATGATTATAGTTCTAATTAAAAGTATTATATTATTAATAACTGATATTGGTAATGATAAGAGATTTTGTTTATTAATTATCGGGGAGGTTGGATGGCCGAATGGTTAGCACGTGCACGTTGCATCATAAGGTCTGTCATTGAGTCAACTGGGGGGGGGGGGGTTCGATTCCCTGGTTGTACATGACACAGAGTAAGGTTGCCTGTTCAACCTTGTGGGTTTTCTCTGGGTCCTCCGCTTTCTTCCCACTGCTAAAGACCCCTATGTGCAAGCAAATTATTGAAATAAAATTGAACCATATGTTAGTCCCGAAATGACCTAGTTTGTGTTGAGTGGATGTTAAACCCCTTCTCTCTCTTTCTCTCTCTGTCTGTATTTATGTGCTGTTTCTTCTATGTTTTTTTGGTTCTTTGGTCTATATTGTCTCTTCCTTAGAATTTAAAAAAAAAGCATTAAAAAAATGGAATTAAATTCAGCATTCACATATTGCAATCATTAAACGGATAAACAAAACAGTAGAAATTTCAAATTTTTTGTTCAGTATAATAGGTCCTTCAATTTGGTAGAAATTTTGTCTAAGGTGTTAAACAGGTGCTAACATGAGCTAACTGGGCCAAGGGTCAGGGATAGTGGTAAAAATCTCTGAGATCTCTACATTCTTCAAATTTATGGGCAGTCCTACACAAATTGAAACTACCCCATTTGGTTGAAACTTAAACACAGATGAAATCTGGTGGTAAATATGGCCAAATAAGTAGCCATTAACAAATTTGTACTTCTTCAAGTTTTTGTCATCCCATTAAGCCGGAATCTTTTAGTTTTAAGGTAGATTTGGTTTGGTTTCCGGTTAGTAAAAATCCTCATGTTAACTAAAATTATTTAAAGTTGATAAAATGGCAGAACATTATTGATGTTCATTCTTCTTTAGTTAATCATCATTATTTTTATTTTAAAGCATATTTGTATGATGTAACATGTGTTAAATATTTACATGTTTAAATAATTGATAGTATTTTGTGTATATATTTTGCGATATATATTAGTTTTTACCTCATTGTGCCCACCTGTTGAAATGGGACACAATGCTTACAAGGGATTTTAATCAATGTGTTAATATAATCTACCATATGAACAATTTTGCTGCTGTCTGAACTGTTTTTATAAATGAAATGAAGTGAAATAGGGTTTAACGTCCTACTGTTCTGCTCCAACTGGGCTCTGTTTTAAAGTGTTTTTGTAGAACAGACTATAGATGGCAGCAAGAACCTTTATAAATAAACAAAAATAACAAT